AATAATTCCGCCAAAAAATTACCACCAGTCTCGATTCCTCCAGAAAATCAAAGCAGAGATGTTGCAGTTTCATTTCCATTCACTCGATTCCCAATTCCTCCCACAGATCTTTCACTAGCGATGCTTTTATCTCCAGATCGATCGGCTTTCCAATTTCGAATTTGGCTGTTTGAACCATTTGCGGCCCGTTGGCCGATTGCACAGCTCGACCAATCAACATCGAATGGAAATGTGTGATCAAAACAATGCGGTCTTGACAAAACCTCTCGAGGGGACCAGGGGAGCTAACTGGTTTGTTTGTCGACTGCAGGTCGCTGGCTACCCTCGCCGGGCTTATTTTTGTTACCCAACATACTGTGCGATCGGCCAACGGGCCGCAAATGTTTCAAGCAGCCAAATTCGAAATTGGAAAGCCGATCGATCTGGAGATAAAAGCATCGCTAGTGAAAGATCTGTGGGAGGAATTGGGAATCGAGTGAATGGAAATGAAACTGCAACATCTCTGCTTTGATTTTCTGGAGGAATCGAGACTGGTGGTAATTTTTTGGCGGAATTATTTGCTTCGGGCGACGGACACTTCTAAAATAGGTTTCCGGCCTTGTCTTTCTTTTAGCAGTTGAACACCAACATAGCGCTAACTCGCCGAAAACGCTTCAAAATGGCCTGAGACGCTCGGAATCAACAAAGAAAACAACAAAGCAATAAGGTAAGCCCATTTTATTTCAAAACAAGACATTTTTTTCTCTCTTTTAAGGCAAACCGATAACATCCCATACAAACCTTTATAAATATAAAACGTTGCGCAACACGTTAAGAGTCACGTCCGCTTTTCTAGTAGTGAGCTTGGGCTGCCTGTGAGTGAATCAGCGATAGGACTCTTTGAAATCTGCACCGACAAGAGAAATGCAGTCGATCGTAGACATCTCCGATCAAGTTAACTCCGCGGTCGGTTAGACTTTTGGCGAGATTGTTGTGTCGTATTATATGCCACTGAGTTTTGTGGTGCTGCGTCGGTTGGGGGTATTACAATTTAATCGAGTTTTATCAACTGAGTTCATAATGTGTATTAGCCACCATAAAGACTTCTTAAACGGACGTTTCGAGCGTTAGCCCTTTGTCTTCACTCCGACGAAAGGCTAACGCTGTAAACGTCGCCCCGACGAAGGGCTAAAGCTCGAAACGTCAGCTTTTGTAATCGTTACGCTGGCCAATTTACCATTTCAACTTTGATGATATATCCAAATTAAAACGCTCTAAACGTCAGCCTCAGGATCTCTTTACGGTGGCCAGGTTACATTGTTTATTACAGCCATTTTGAAATCACTGGTGGTCCCTGTAATCTGATTGGCACCAATTGGTGCGATTTATTCACGAATCGCACCATTTTTTGCTCTGAATCGCATCATTACACTTGACTGAGTTTTTGATGTATTACGTCAAAGTCTTTTTGTTTTGCATACAGAATAAGATGTAAAAGCGTTTCCAGTTCCGCTTTTTATTTAAAAACCGGCTCGGTACTAAGTCAATAAAATATTTGAATTGACCAAGACCTTTATTTGGGCGATTTCAAAATGGATGTCATAGAGTGGAAATTAAACCTCTTGTCGTGCAATTTTGGTCTGAAATCATACTTGTGATTTCAGCCCAAATTGCTCTCCACTCAGTTCAATTACCATTATTTAACTCTTGATAAAACCATTTTATAATATAAAATCCCTAACCACCCTTGCTGCTTCAAGTTCAGCCTCCTCCGTTAGGTTAATATTTTCCAAGTGAACTCCTATTGAGAGGTTTTTCAAATTAATGTTAAAATCAGCGTTGCACAACGATTTGAAAATATTGCTTGGCGTTGCCCGAGGAGGTCGTGTTTGAATTGCTAGTGAAACGAAACGAATCGAGCGAAGCTGTAAGCGAGCTCTGCATTGATTTCCATCCTTTTCTCTTAACAAATCTGAAGGGAGTCAACTCTACTCTTAATATTTTGAATACTTAAAGTAAAATTTCATCAGTGATGTTGTGTTTGAATCTCGTTATAGAGCTGGCGTTAACGAAGATATAGAAGTACCCGTATTTGTATGTTTGTTGGCTTTCCCAAGTCTTAAATACCCGCTTTATATCTTTGAACCGCGGTATCAGCTTATGATTCGTCGATGCGTGGAACTAGGTTCTCGGATGTTCGGGATGTGTGCTAACTCCGAGGACCCAGGCAAGGAATTCTCTGATTACGGAACTATTTTACTCATTGAAAATGTCAGGTTTCTACCCGATGGGCGTTCCATTGTTGAAACCACGGCGATGCGAAGATTTCGAGTTGTCTCCCGATCAACGACCGATGGTTATAGCACGGCTAAAGTAAAATGGCTTGAAGACGAACTTCCTAGATTATATTCCGAAGATCCAGACCTCCAGACGATGAACGTCGATTGCTATAGAGCTTTGGAGCTTTGGTTAAATCTTTTGACACCATTACAACAGACATGCGTGACAAACGCAATAGGCTCCATGCCACCAGTTGAGGAACTAGTGCCCAGCTCCAATGGTCCATCCTGGCTGTGGTGGGGACTGGCGGCTGTCCCACTGAAGGACGAAGCTAAACTTATCATTCTGTCGATGACATCATTGGCTGAGCGGCTTCAAAGTCTTCACCGCTTTTTAGAGCTCTTGATCGGAGTGAGAAACGAGAATTAGCGCGTGTGGAACACTGATAACTTTTGAACTTTGCAGCGTTTAGCAGAATGATTTAAATTAGGATTCGATTAGAATAATGATATAAAAGAAGGTTGAATAGTACCGCCTAGTAAATCGAATGCTGCCAGTCAATTGAATCTGCTCGAATTACTTGGAAGCCAGTGAGAAACACTGTAGTTAGAAAAACGAGAAGAGTACAAAAACATCTTAAGCCCCGGGTAGTTAATTATCGAAAGCATCCCTTTTTGTGCTTGATAGCCTTTTTCTTTTTTGTTTGGAGCCTTTGAAGGATCACAACTGAGAGTCCATGGATACCCGAGACACCCCTTCCCCCCCCCGAGCTAACTTTCACATATTTCTTTGAACAATCTAACCAACCTTTCTGAACATGAAAATGGCGACGCCTTAACAGGTAGGGTAACCCTGTTAGGCAAGACAATTTTTTTTCTCATGTTTACGCTACTGCTCGCTTGCCCGAGAAGAGGGCCCAAATTTTGTTCAGTGTATAACTTAACCTGCCTGGTTGAAACCAGAGAGAGCTTGATAAGGGGACAGATGTTACAACTGACAACTCCATATCAAACGCCCCGTTTAGCTGACTCGAGGGGAAGGTTGTCTTGGGTACCTGAGACGAAATATTTTGAGTAGCCCAAATCTCGTTTAAGTGATTAAAAGTTGTAGTGTTTCTGTCTCTTAACTCACTCTGTGAGAATTTAATTGTCAGCTTTATTTTCTTTAAAGAACTTTTTCACGAAAATTAACGTCAGTGAAGAGAATCACTACGTATTGACGAATATTTTTCCAATTTATTTATTTATTTATAAATTTATCTTAGCAGATTATAAGTGTTAATATAAGTGTTAATATATGTGTTTACGAAGTTTTTCTTATACTTTAATTTTTCATTTGATTTTAAAGAGCAAAATCGGTTCCTCACTGCGCTTTGCTACTGCTTGAGATTGCCGCTGCTATTCAACCAGTCAGATGCAAAAGTAAGCGGACCCTTAACATGCTGGTCATACGAATGGATAGCTGCTTCAGGGTTTGCATTTCTATTTTGTTAGCTTTGTTGTAACTAGGAATTCTGATTACAGTGGTTTGAGTCGCAGATACTCCATTTGAAACCTCAGGTTTAGAAATCTTGGTCACCAAGCTTAGCACGTTAGAATTAAGTTGTAATGACTGGAAATTAGCAAAAAAAATTAAAGGAAGATGCTATCAATCATGTGCGTTAAGTTGTTTCGGGTTTAGCGGGAAGGATGAGTGCATTGACGTGTGATCTGCTGTGACCTCGCGGGGGAGTTTCGCTGTTCGTGTTTCCAACAAAACTCTGAGTGTGTCTTCATCGAGGAGCTACGACCCAAGACCAATTAACTTAAAAACTGAACACACCCTGTGACTGAAATACGGTCAAACCTGTTTTAAGTATTGAGTTTACGTTCAGCCCGGGTCAATCACTGACAAGGCGTTACTTTCATTGAACAGCATTGAACTGATTTAACAGTGAGAACATTAAGCTTAAAAAAATCACCCGCTGTCGACCGTGTCACAGTGAAAACGATCCACGAATAAGAAAGACTGCCTCTGAAATAAATCACTTTATGGATAAAACTTTTTCGACTTGGGCGCATGCAGCTGCAAGCGCTGTATAAACTGGTTAAAGGATTGAAATAAAGTGAACGGGAATCGAAGGAAGGAGTAAGTATTCCATCCATACCCATTTCTCGGATAATGAGGTGAAAACGATAAAAACACACCATTTCATGCCATCAATTAATGTACAAAAACTCACTCTAAAATACAACATTGGTTTCGGGAGAAGAACATGGATTAAATTTTACTTGAAAGATTACTCTTAGTTTTGTTTTAGTGCTCGAGCTTTAAGTGACCGACAATACACAGGGTCCCCTACAACCCTAAATAAAACTCAGTCACGTAAAAATATCTGGCCCTTCCACGCATCACAAACAGTATTCGAAATTCTTTCACGTTCACGTGAAACTTGGGACGGTCACGTTTCACATCAAAACAAAAAACCAATTCACGAATTAGTTTTTTTTTTTTTTTCTAGTCTTGATCGGTCAGAAGCGACAAAAGATGACTTAATGTTTTGTCCTATGTTCCAGGAGCAATACTGGTCTCTATTATGACTTTTATCGATCCACATGAAGTCTATGTCCAAGTCAAAACCTAACCACAACCGTTCAAGAACAGTACCCGTATTTTCAAAACGATAGAATTGCCGGAAATTCACGCAAAACAAAATGTTTCACGTTCACGAATCACGTTTAAATCAGCTCTTCATTATGGGTCTCAATGGAGTTAACCGTCAACCGTCAAATGGCCAAAATATTAACAGTCAACCGTCAAAAACGCAATATCTTTGGTGTCAACCGTCAAAAACGCAATATCTTTAGTGTCAACCGTCAAATAAGCAAGCCGTCACATGTCTCAGATATCCTTAATTGAGAACTAAACGATCGTCTTAATTAGGGTCAAGTTCTGTTGTCTATAAATAAAAGTTTCGATACATCACAAAAATACATTTATGCAAGTCCTCTCACTTCTAGTCACGAGTAAAACTAGGCTCGATTACCAGCCGCTGTTCGGGAACCGGAGCCCGCGCTCCTATCCGAAGCGGGGGAGGAACGAAAAAGACCGCGTCATTATGAAAAATTACAGCCAAATTCGCGCGTTTCGTTCGTTTTATAAACGATATTCCAAACAAATTAACCGTCAATCGTCAAATGACCTAAAATTAACCGTCAACCGTCAAAAGGGCTTATTTTTAACCGGCACCCCTCCAACCGAGACCCTCTTTATTCACGAGTCACGTTAAAATAAAACAGTTTGTTCACGCGGACATGAAAATATTTTATCATCTCTAATCACGATTCACGAATAAAGAAAGACTTAAATCACGATTCACGAGAAAAAAAAAATCCCCTAATCACGCTTCACGTAAAAAAGTATGGGGGGCCTTCTATACGAACAGTCCCTTGGGACTTGTGACCACGACCGCTTACTAGAGATGACCGCTTAATACAGGTAAAAATTACAGTAAGTAAGGAGGGAAATTCGGGACTTTGACAACTCACCGCTTACCGGCCACAGGGTGACCGCTTAAGAGCAAATGTGCCCAAAAAATCGAACATTTTCAAAATATGGTGGCAACAGCCAAAAAATCGATTCGCCTCCTATTCTCAAGTCAGGTTGGCGGGTATCTTGACGGGTATCTAAGCGGGTATCTTGACGGGTCTTCCTCTCAAAAAAGCCGGAACATTAATGATAACAATAATACACCACTAAGGGGCGGTATTACACAATATACAGAGTATACTTCTGTATATTTTGATGTATAAACTGTATAAATATACACTTAAGTATAGTGATATCAATATACAGAATATACACATGTATACAAAAAATGTATAAACTGTATAAATATACTTCTAAGTACAGCGATATCAATATAAAGAATAGACACATGTATACAAAAATGTATAAACTGTATATTTTGTATATAGGGTATATTGCCAAAGTCAAGCCTAGAGTCAATTGTATATTCTTTATATTGTGTATATAGTGTATATTACCAAAGTCAAGCCTAGAGTCAATTGTATATTGTTTATATTGTGTATATTTCCAAAGTCAAGTCTAGAATCAATTGTATGTGTCTAAAGTGTATAAATATACAACAATATACACTACATACACAATATATACTCCCTCCTACAGTTCACTTCTATACTCTGTATACACTTAAGACAGAATATACTCTTTATACAGAATATACACTTTCTACAGAATATACACTTTATACAGAATATACTCTTTATACAGAATATACACTTTATACAGAATATACACTTTATACAGAATATACTCTTTCTACAGAATATACACTTTAGACAGAATATACTCTTTATACAGAATATACACTTTATAGAATATACACTTTATACAGAATATACACTTTATACAGAATATACTAGATACAATGAATATATGAAGTTCATATATTTGAAGTGCGGTATTAAATACGTATGATGCACGATCCTTCGCAGTAGATAGCGCTATTTATGCAATAGCGAAAATCAGACCTGAAAAAAATCAGGCCTGTACGGGATTCGAACCACTGACCTCTGCGATACTAGTGCAGCGCTCTACCAATTGAGCTAACAAGCCAACTGGGAGCAGGCCGTTAAGTTGATTCGTAATAAACCCGTGATGATAAATCAGATACAATGAATATATGAAGTTCATATATTTGAACTGCGGTATTAACAGTGGTTCGAATCCCGTACAGGCCTGATCTTTTTCAGGTCTGATTTTCGCTATTGCATAAATAGCGCTATCTACTGCGAAGGATCGTGCATCATACGTATTTAATACCGCACTTCAAATATATGAACTTCATATATTCATTGTATCTAATATCTATCATACTTGCTATTATTGCGACCTTATGGAAATAAAGTTGTTCACAAAGCGTATCTCGGGGTTTTTGATTTGAGGTTTCTCTATTCCCATTCCGTTGAAAAAGAGGCTGTAATTACTTCACGTAAGAGATCTTTGCTTAAATGTTAGTCTTTAACCGAACCACGAACCAAGTGTAAGCGGAATTTTGCTGGTTCAGAAACGTGTTTCTCGTGGAGAGAACAATGCTAATTAATTCAAAATGTGATCTACTGAAATCGACAACTTCCCAAAAACAGAACATTGTACTGTTAAACACGTGGCTTCAGGAACTTAGGTCTATATACGAAACAGGAGTAAACAATCATGTAACCTCTTTTGTGATTTTAAAAATGTATCATAATCAAATGTATCATGGTATTTTTTAATCATTGTTTTAGGTGGATAAAGCTCATATTAGGTCAAAAGAGCGAAAGATCTGCAAATGGCATGGCCCATCACTTCAGAGATGCAGTTAGAGAAAATGCAGTGTTGGAATACTTGTTTATTTCAAAGAAGCTGTATTAGAGTTAAAACTGGAAAACCACAACCTTTACTGAATTTTTGTACTAGCCAATGTTCAACAGATTTATATTCACATCACTTCTTTCACAGAGCCTACCATGCCTTGTTAAGTTACTCGTGCCACTAGTAAGACTACGACCCAAGTAGTGCGTTCTCATATGCACTTTCATCTATTACTGGAAGCGGTCCAAAAGCTCGAAACTCAAGAAAAGCCTAGAGTAATCACTGCACCAGCTGATACAGCGGACTCGAGTGCGGCCGGTACGCCCAAGGACTTAAAGTAATATACATGTTCGCCGAGCATTAACTGTACTGATATTGTATATTTGAAACAGTGGCTTTGAAAGAATCAACCCAACTAGTGAGTTATTTGGTACTTTTGTCGAAGAGGCTAACCAAGTAAGAAGTCATTTATCCCCCTCAAATACGGTCGGGTTCAAAGCCATCAATGAATTACATGGCGATACTTATAAAGTGTAGATGATGAGTAAAGACACATTATAGGCCTGGTGTCTGATCAGAACAGAATTTTCACACCCACTGCGTAAAGTTAACATCTATATTTTGCTAGCAAAAAAAGAGTAAACATGTTGTACTTAATCTGTCCTTCCAAGTTAATTAAATAGAAGTAAATGACTTCTTATAGACGGCCTGAAAAACTTTCCTGTTTAGCTATATAGCGGATCAGCAAGGTACCTTAGTGATCCGTTACATTTGCCGACAAGGCGCGGGTCTTTTCGCAGGCAGGGAGTTCAAGGTTTGCATTAGATATTTAATCCATACTTTTACAACCACAATTTTCAACCAATTCTGGAAAAATATCTCTATGGGGCTGCTCCCGCTTGCTGGTCATTGAAGAAAAGTCTAGTTCAAGCGCGGAGCAGATCTCCCGTACCTTCCCAACGGAAAACTTTGACAACTTGGAGTGGCACGCGATTTCACAAATGTTGCATTTGTCATACCATGATAAATGACCATTTGTTGATTATGGTACAATTTTAAAATCACGAAAGAGGTTAGATAATTGTTTACTCCTGTTTCGTATATTTAAAACAAGACCTAAGTTCCTGAAGCCACGTGTTTCACAGTACAGTGTTCTATTTTTGCGAAGTTGTCGATTTCAGTAGATCTCATTTTGAATTAATTAGCGTTGTTGCGCCCACGAGAAACACGTTTCTGAACCAGCAAAATTCCGCTTATATTTGGTTCGTGGTTCGGTTAAAGACTAATTATAACATTTAAGCAAAGATCTCTTACGCGAAGTAATTACAGCCTCTTTTTCAACGAAATGGGAATGGAGAAACCTCAAATCAAACACCCCGAGATACGCTTCGTGAACAATCATTATTACGAGGCGTTGACTACCCTTTCAGGTAATATTGCTATTGTGAGGGATATTACTAAAACTGGTAAAGGGGAACGGGTGTACAGCGGTAACCCGCCTGAGAATTCAAAATGGCGGAGTAAACGATGTTTACAAACACTGATTTTATCGCTATGTCGCTGCTTGCAGCGAAATTAGATGACTCGCTTTTATTTAACTATTGCCCAGGCGAAGCCACGAAGCCTAGTATTCCGAGGCGAGAATTCGAAGTCAACGTTTCTGCAATGGCTGCCACCATTTGTTCTGACGTCTCTCTTTGTTTTTCTTTCCTGAAATCATCATCTTTTGGCAGACTTTGGGTATGTTGGTTGTTTGCATTGCCCAACAGCATTTTTCGCAGATAAGTAGCAAGGAGGTAATATCTTAGATTAACAGAAATGAGCTAGGAAACGTAATAACCAGCCTAGTTATTAAAAAAATTACATGCAGATATCTGCTCACCTTACCGCAAAATAACATCAGGAACATATCTTTGTATCGACCCATAAACTTCCGTGTAAACAATAGAGAAATCAAACATTGACAGAACTTTATCTAACATTTAATTTAACATTTAATCTTCGAAAGGCCCTCAAAAAAGCTTTGAAGACATGCTAAATGCCGCGAGCTTGTAGTTCTGAGTTGATTGTTTAAATGCTGTACATGAATTGTAAGATACTCAGCTCTCCGAGGATTTGATTTCTATGCAATCTGCAACGGTGTGCCAGACAAAAACTAACTTTATGAGGCACTCAACATTTCAAAGTAAAATCCTTCAGTAAAACCTACACTTATCGTCCGTGCTTTTTGCTCCGACGGTTGCGTTCGAAGAGCACGTGCTCAAAACTAGTTGCTAGACCCTTTTAGTTCCCTTTACTCCGCCATTTTGAATTCTCAGGCGGGTTACCGCTGTACACTCGTTCCCCGTTCGCCGTTCGCCGTTCGCCGTTCGCCGTTCCCCGTTCGCCGTTCTCCGTTCTCCGTTCCCGTTCCCGTTCTCCCTTGCCCGTTGTCCGTTGCCCGTTCCTCGTTATCAGTTTTAGTAACATCCTATTCTGAGGGAGATGCAACAATTTCAGGACTGCAATCCTCAGAAACATAGAAGGTAAGAGTATATTATGTTAAATAAACAGTATATTGAACGATATTGAACATAAAATGAGGAAAAATTGAGTTTGCGTGGGATGTTATTAAAACTGGTAACGGGGATAGGGGAACGGCGAACGGCGAACGGCGAACGGCGAACGGCGAAAGGAGAACAGCGAACGGGGAACAGCGAACGATATTGAACATAAAATGAGGAAAAATTGAGTTTGCGTGGGATGTTCGGATTTTGAAAAACATTTTTTGGATTTCTAAATATTTTTTTGGATTTGCAAAATATCTTTGGATTTGTCAAACTTTATGACAGTGAGTTTAAAATAAATATTGCGATTTGAAATATTTTTCGGGATTTGAAAAATATTTTTGGATTGGCCCTTTTCGGCTTCCGTACCAAATATGCCACAGTGTCTAGTCTGTTTACGCAATCTGTTGTTTAGAGCAAGTATCAAATCGAACGATTTCCTCTGTAACCCTACCACAACTCACCCCATCCTCCTAAAATTATCCACCTTTTATCCTTTTCCAAGGTCTTGGTCAGCATGCATCGTTGTTGTGTTACACACGTGAAGTCCGGTATGAATTATTAAGGTAAAAAATTAAACCCCAAAAAATTAGAAACCCTTCAGATCACAGTGATAGAACCAAGCCAATTCAACAAGCCACAAACATTTCAGCAAAATTACATAGCGTTCATATTATAAACAATTATTATATTTGGCTAACTCTCGCCTACTCTAAATGTAGCTATCTAACGGAAGAAAACATCATTCAGTTCGATATCCGAACGTGCTATTTAAATTCATTATATAACAATGCTACGGAAACTCTTAGGGGAGGGTGGGTAGGACCCACAAGCATTTGAAATAGGGTAAAAAATAATTTTTTTTAAAGCAATTGTTCCAGGAATGCTTTACAGCATGAAATTATAGTTTTCTATGTCCTAAGATGTCGTAAAATCTTCAATGAAAATTTTTATTCTTAGTATTGTGTATTTTTCACCCGGGTAGAGTGGGTTAGGGTGGAGCAAGCGTGACTGAATTTCACGCTACCGGAACTGGCCCTATACTTTGTTATGAAACTTAAGTAACAAGAAAAGCTGTGCTCAGCGCTAATCAAAACGTTTGTTCGAAATTTTCTTGAAACCATAGTTTGCATTGAAGTTGAGGGTTGACTCGAATCTTTTTCAAATGGGGAAGTGATAATTCTCAGTCACTTTTCAGTGGAAAAAATAGAGGATTATTCGGCGCGTCATCGTGGAAAGAAACGACAGAAAGAGGGACGATCGAGAAAATGTCGGACAACACGTATAGCGAGGGTCGAACTCTAGAAGACACTCTGCTGTCGTATTTTGACATTTTTCATAGTAGAAATATGGTACGCCGAGATCGTCTATTTCCACTTGTCGACGCGCTGATGGACCACGAATCTCAAAATATTAAGAAAGAACTCGACACGTGGATAAAACAGATCAAAGCGTCACAAAGAAGAGTATTTCACTGTCCCTGGTGTACGTGTGTGTTTGAAAATCCCGTCACACTAACGTGTGGTCACACTGTTTGTCAGGAATGCCTTCGAAGAAAATCGGGGTTGATCGGTGAAGACTGTTCGGAGAAGTCGTTAAATTTCTGCCTTCTTTGTGGAAATAATTTATTCAATGAAGGAAATCGGTCGGTGAATGTTATCTTGTCCGATATAATTACAAAACTATTCCCTGATGGAGGGAAAAGTGCGGAAGCAAAGAAACTTGGCCAAAGTCAGTTAATTTCACAATGTGCGAAGAAAGCAGTGGAAACATTTTCAGTCGCTCTTCACTCGAAACCGAAAGATTATGAGTGCCTCTGCCTGCGGAGTGATGCCTATTTGAAATTGAATCTGCATTATTTAGCACTCAGAGACGCCAACAGTGCTTGCGAGTTACGACCAGATTTGCCAGATGCTTTTCACAGAAAGGCGAAAATTTTAACGGAAATAAAATCATGGGATGATGCAGTCTTGCAGTTTCTTCGCTGTGCTGCTCTTAATCCAACCAGGCCTCGTCGTGACGAGTTGACTGAAAGTTTATTTAGACTATTTACATCCGTGACTTTGACGAAACTCGAGGAAAAGGTTGCTGCGAGAAAGATTGCAACTAATAGTGCTGCAGAGGAACTCCAGGAAGGAAAATCAGATACTGAAAGTATTGGAAGCCTGAGTTCCTCAGAGGAAGAAAGCAGCACGAATGAGCAAGAGATTGCTCAAAGCAGCTGCGAGAAAATTATCATTATCGAAGTAGCTGAATTACAGTGCTACATTTGTGGCCGTTTACTTTTTTATCCTGTGACAGTCCAATGTGGTCACACCTTCTGCAAGGAATGCATCAAGGACAGTCTTGAGTATGGACCTAAATGTCCAAGTTGTGGAACAATCTTGAATGATTCAAAAACGAGTCACTGGAATTTGACCGTGGTACTGGATGGATTACTGAGAATATATCTAGAGGAGCCTTACCGTGAGAGGGAGGAATTTCACTCGCAGGAAGTGGAGATGTGGACTAGGTAACATTAAATAAGAATCACCTTTTTTGGGGTGGGAGTGAGAGGGCAATGAAACAAAAAATACCCTTTACACTGTCTGACCACCAAAATTCAACCGTGAACTAAGCTGATAATCAAGGGTGACATTTGAATAGGAATTGGTTATACCTAGTTTCCCAGCCAGTATATGATATCAGAAACATCTGGGTTAGGAAATCAGTCAACATTTGGTCCTATTCCGAATTCAGGCTCACCTGTCGATTTTCCTCCATTTTTTGGCCGACCGAATGCAGGAATGTGTCATGTTAGGTTTCGATTAATGTATCTTGAGACTCTGGATTTAGTCTCGGAATAGAGTGTGCTATTTCCTTTCGGGTCCGGAAATTTAATGCCGGTTATCTTGCTTTTGACGGGTGTTTGTTTATAACCCCAGCTGATTATATATTCTTCGTTTTAGTCCGGAACACGATACCTTGGGTGTAACGGAGTGCCCCTATTTGATGGAATGATGGAAGGGTGGAATAGCGGGATTGCGGAATATCCTAGAACGCGGAGTGTCTTGTTGTATGAAACAAAAGTCTCGCGAAAATGGAATTGCAATGAAATAAAGAAATAGTTTTAAGTTAAATTATCGTGCAAAATTCAAAGGAGCATAGTTTGATCATTATTGGAGCCAAGAGGATAGACAGTGAGATTCCCCCCCACCCCCCACCCCGCCCAAAGCAAGGGTAGAAAGCAAGGGTAGAAAACGTCTTGTAATATTATGGCGGTATCTATTATCGGACTAGATCAAGGTGATATCAGTGATTGGCATTTTTGCTCCCCCTCGCCTCTCCCCGAAGGAGTCTCTTTCGGTTGGTATACTTTATAAGGTTCACTTGATTACAGACATTCACAGTACTTCATTGTTTCTCTTTAGGGTAGGTATTGACCAGAATGTAGAGGTGCCAATACTAGTTTGTACCATAGTAATTCCACAGGGGCGAATGGATCTCACCCTGTCCCACCCCTCCCACCGAGTCATGGTGCGGCGTTCTGTTGAATGGGGCTCCCAGATGTTTGGAATATGTTTGCCTGACGAAGACAAAGGTTTCACCGATTATGGAACTATTGTCGAGGTACAGGCTACTGCAAGCTTCCCAGCTGGAAAATTGGTGGTACAAGCAGTTCCCAAACGAAGTTTCCGTGTTGTTACAAGAAGTGTTTCGAATGGTTGCCCGACAGCCAAGGTTGAATGGGTGGAAGATGCAAAAATCGACAATTGCGATGCGTTACTGCATTTGAAATGGTGCAACTCGTTGAGCCATCATATGCTGAAGAGATGGTTAGCTACGTTACCACATGACGAGAAAGTTTGCCTTGAGAACTCTTTAGGACCTGTTCCGCCATGCGATAGTCATTTGCTTCTATCACCAAATGGCCCACCCTGGCTGTGGTGGTCCATGGCAGCAATACCTATTTCAGCACAAGAAAAACTGAGGATACTGCTGATGCCTGGAGTAGCTGACAGATTACAGAGTATGCAAAACTATCTCGAAGCCTTGCTAAAATCGAACAACGATCAGGAAGAAAGAGATGTGAAGCAACAAGCCACCGATGGTTGTCACGCCTTGACCTCTTTGGACTCATCCTTTCGTGAAAATACTGTCATCTGAGAGTCTGAGGCAGAGGGAAAATAACAAGTGATTGACATCATTATTTTGCGCGAAGCCCTGCAATTATACTTAAGTAGGGTTTAGTCCCCGTTTATCAGATCCATCAAGTTGCTGTGAGTACAGCCATATCAAGGATTTGTCGTGATCTTAGTTTAAATCCCCCTTTCGTTTTTTTTAGTTCAAGTAAAATCAGGCCAGGAAAACAGGATAATAAATTATAGCCAAGGATGGATGCTTATTCAGTTGATTTTGCTTTTATGTTAATCGTCGGGTCGTAAACCGTTTTTGTGATATTTTGTTTCTTTGTTTTTTTTTTTGGTTTTTCTCTCTGTGTGGTTCTTTCCAGAAACAGAGTCACTGGTCAGTTATCATCAACTTAAAAACGAGTTGAAGAGGGTCAGCGGATGAACATGCCACAGAATATATCGATTTCTATTGATTACTTTGATATATAATAAGAATTGTTGTAATATTACGATAAAATTTCAGGAAAATATTTATGAATGAAACGTAAAATGGTAATCACATAGTGAAGTTATGATACGTATCTTACATCAACCAGGTGTCACCAGATGATTTATCAGAAGGGCTGCGAAGTACAGAACCCTCTTCGCATGAACCACACCGTGAAATTAAACTCGCGAAACCTTACTCGCATTTTTTACGTTGATTTCTATCCTAAACTGTGAGAGCGTACACGGGACAAAAACGAGAAGGGCGAAAGAATCCAATATCGGCGTTTTTAAATTTATTTACATATGGGATATTATATCATGATAAATTACTACTTTTTAGAACCAAGTCCTTCCAGGCCAGATTCTTCCCCTCCGTCCCCCCACGCCAACCTTCACCCACGTGTACCTTTCGAGACCTTGCATCATTGATTGCAATCTCATTACAAAAATAGTTACAATGTATCTGCAGCGAATGGAGACCTTTTGAAAATATAATTGTTACACTCGCGAACCCCAAGGGAGAATAAACTTTTAAGAATACCGAGGGCAATCTCACTTATACCAATGCACAAGACTCTTCTAACTCCGCCACCACTGAGCTGTCGAGATCGGAGGTCTTGCATAACTTACTAAGTTTGGCGTAGTAAAATCTATTTAACTCTTAAACTCCTGAGAGTAAAAAGCACCTAGTTTCTCCTTACAACATCACCCCTGAATCACACATAGGGTCCCGTGAATTAAGGAATCGATCAGCAACTGAAAAAACTCTTGATTGTTGAACAAATTCTCCTTGTCAGCACCTTAGGAAATGTATAGAGAACAGTTTGGAGAATATGCATACTGATGTTGGGGTGTAAAAGGGTTAATGATAGTGGAAAATTGTGGTGAAGATGTAGCAGTCGTTGTCATCTCTACGAAACAAAATGCCTGGATTTCTTGCCAGTAACTTTCTTATAATCCAAATCTGACAACGGAGATTCCACAAGAGCGTCACGGGTAATCCCATGATCACTAGCAACCGAGTCGTTTTCATCAATTTCCCGCTCTAAACTCGACACAGGAATATCTTCGATCTCCCCAGGGATTGCTTCTTTAAGCAACGCCTTTTCTGTCTCTTCTTTTCCCAGCAAATCCCTGGTATCCCCTTGTTTAGCGTCGCTGTTGTCCCCTGTTTCATTCTCTGTCTCACCGAGAGCACTGTGATCAATAGTGAAGTCGTCTTTAAGAGCATCACGGATAAAGTCCTCCACCAAACTTGTATTATCACGGAATCGATTGATGTTGAATGGAATTTCGCTTCGTTTTGAAACTATACTGTCAACTGACACGTTATCGATATCATCACTACTCGTTCCATCTGCAGACTTCTTTGTCAACAAAAACCCTTTCACATCACGAATAAGAGAAAACAACTTCGTCTCGATCTTTGTGATTTCTTCAAGCTTTTGATGCAGTTTACTTTTCAACTCGTCGTTATCGCTAACATCTTTCGGGACTTCGGAGGTGGCAGCGCTGGGGTCTATGTGGTTTGCAATCTCCTGCTTAACCACCTCATCTATCAGTTCTTTAGCTGTTACAACATGAGCCTTGTGTGGCGCATGCTTAACTTTGGCAGCAGCCGCCGCCTCTTCTTTCTTCTTATGAAGCTTCATCAAAGCTTCGTCAACTGCCTCGCGGATTCCATCTTTATCCCCGTAACTATTCTCGACTTTTTCTTTCAGATCATCAGCCGATAGTAACGTGTGTTCCTTGAAGGCATCCATTACAGGGAATGCCGCTCGCAGATGTGTGTCATCATGTTTCACGTTTTCCTTCAGAAGATCACTGCCGAAATTTGAATGAAAAAGATCACCTCCCAGTCCTAAGTCAAGACCCAGTAAATCATCTAAAAAGAAGGGAAAGAATCAGTCAACTTCCACTCTAACAATGGGCTGACGCGTTATATCAAACTCTCTACGGCGGCCAGTTTACATTATCAACTCAGTTGATGAAACCAAATTATCTTGTAATACCCCATCAACGTATGGAAGGCGGGGTGGCCTCATGGTTAGTTTACTCGACTCCAGATCGAATGGTCCAGGAACATTGTGCTGTGTTCTTGGCCAAGACACTTTACTCTCACAGTGCCTCCCTTCAGGCCGCCCCGGTAGTTCGAAGGATGGATAACGCCACACACTGGATAAATCTCTATACGGTGGCTAGCGCAGTACGTTTTGGTAACACTTATCCGCTGGATAGCGATTTATCCGTTGGATAGCGTTATCCGCCCTTTGAACAACCGGAGCCAGGAGTATAAATGGATACCGGCGAATTTAATGCTGGGGGTAACCCTGCGATGGACTAGCATCCCATCCAGGGGGGAGTAGGAATACTCCTAATCGTTTCATGCTACGGAAACCGGATTTAAGCGCCGGCCCTATGGGCCACCTGGCTCGTAAACGGGCTTTACCTTACCCCATCAACTTAGCACCCCAGTTTCTTTAGAAACTTACCCCCTTTATCAACTAGATCATTCCCTTGATTCTATAGTTATCAAGAGAAAGAGAATATATTTATACCTTTCTCATAACGTAAAGCCCCGTTAGCCATTGGGGATTAGTAATTTTTAGGGCTTTTAGACAAGGGTGATGAGCGTAGCCCTCTAACTCTCAGAAATGATTCATATGTAACTTCTCCTTATAATATCCATAAATCATCCAGAAAATAGATAATGAGAATATTCAAACCTAACAGGTAGAAGTTGATATCGTCCTGATTTAACACCAAATTCTCGTAACTAATCCACAAGGGAATGTGTAACAACTAAGAGGGAAGGGTTAATTGGCCCGGTTACCGGTTGAAACTTCAAAAGTCTCGTTATGTTTGTTCTGGTAAACAGGCTGAAATATGGACATTAAAAAATTCATCCCATCAAACAAGCTAACCCGGTTCCTGACAGGAAAATACGGAAAGGCCCAAAGTTTAAATTTTCATCTTCCACTGTATCGCACTACTTGGAAGAAAAAGTGTTTTTCATTTTGTCGCGGGCGTGAGACAAAGAACAAATCTGAGTGCCCCATAAGGATTCAATACCCTAACTTTCGGACCACGTGCACAGATGTTATACCATTGAGGTACATGAAGCACAGTGGTGAGCTAGGTCATTACTAGGCTGATATGTGACCTCTGAGGGTGAGTAGCATCTAATTTTCCCTTACAATTCTGGGAATAATATTAAGATACTATGAGTTGAGCTTCAACATGCTTCTTTTGTAAGAAACTACTATCGATCCTTTTTTATTTCTGGGTTTGTGTGAGAAAAACGTCTTGTGCGAGTTTTCCAAATAAAACACACTTATTCAGATGTCACTAGCAAAGAACAGATGGTCCTAAAACTATAATTACGAACCTCTTTTGGACGAGTCTGAAGAGAAGTCTGCGTTTACAAGGACAGCAATGTCCAGAGCCAAACACAGGATCCATGCATAGCCTGAGTTCATTATGTATCTTACAAATAAAGAGATAAAACATATCAAAATTAGAGTCCATCTTACCACAATTAGGGATGGAATGTTGAGGTTAAGAACATATTTATTACAGTTTTCTATATGCTTTATATCGCGCAGAACCAAACCTCCCTGCAATGTTTGAAAGTTAGAAAGCTCGTCTATGTCTTCAAAATACCATGTACCACAGCAATTTCGTGGGATATTTTGAAATCATGTCATAACGGAGTTTCAGGAAATATTTCAGTTCACACTCCAGTTTTTATCTAATTCCTAGCCGAGTTGTCCAAGATCAAGAGACAGCAAAATTGAAGACAATCAAACAGTTTCCTCTCTTCTGACTCGAAAATGACTTAATACGATAAAGTCGTTCATACCTTGATGAATAAAACTCCGTTACTACCTCTAGATCATCGGATCGTTAAAACAGTGCTTCTTCCTTGCGATTTTTTTTACAAAATTTCAGTGATCACGGATTTTTCCAGGAGTTATTGTCAATGAATTAAACATCACATTTCAGGTGTTTTACTCTAATAGGGCGGGTACCAGTCATCTCTCATCTTGAATCTAACCCTAATGACATCTTCAAAAAAGAAACGTTTTAACAGGAACCTCCAAATGTGGAAGCTTATATCAAAGTTAAGAACTGAACTTTGTTCAACTTCTTAGTATTTAAATTCAGGGTGTTTACAAGGTTTCTATTGGCCATCTACTTCAAAGGTGAAGATAATTTGAGAGTACCTTTAAACTGGGGCGTCGAACTTGTTGAGATTTTGTGCCCGCACGCATCAACGTAATTTTCTTTTGTCCAATTAAACTGCGCACAGAAGTATGAACAAATCCCCGTTGATGTCACGTGACTCAGATACTTTGGCCTAACATGTCTTTGGTAGACTAAGCAGAAAAGCCTCCGTTCCCTGGGCTTTGTATCTGTTAGGTGGTAATTTCTTTGGTAATAACTTAGAATAAAATAATAAAAGGATAGCCATGTACGTAAAAAGGCTTAGTTCTAAAGTTCTCATGGAGTATAAAGGAACACCTACAGACTCTCCAGCTTTTTTCTTTTAAAGAAATATCAGGAATTATCCAGTTTGCAAGAAGGAGTTGCTTCGGATTATCCTTGTATTAATCATAGATGATAGATGGCTTCCCATCTTTCAATTTCTTGTTATTATTGCTCCGAATAAAGTGCTGAGAGACCACAATGCACGCTACCATTTACAAAGCAAAAAATCCGATCGATTATCGATTCTATTACATTCCAAAGTGATTTCATGATACACCAGAATAGGATACGCTTGCTTGGTTTTGATGTTGTTTGTATAACTAAACTACACAGTAACCTTAAGAAGCGTAGATACTTTCGATCAAAGATTGTTTGTCACAATCGCAGTTGTCAAACAATAATTGCAAATGGCAACATAACGAATGATGTGAGCGCTGGAGTTTGTCGGGAAAATAATGTCACGTCAAAGATTCCATCATTGAAATTGGCAAGATACGAGGTACGACGGTAATTTGTCGCTACTTCTCTAATCACACAACTTTCTGATTTTATTACAATGCTAAAGTTCTAAGTGAAACTGGTTTTAGCTCTCACTGGTACGTCACTGCAGAAAAGTTAAATCTTGTACTGACTTTAGAATTACCCTTAACTAGTGAAAAAAATACATTTTTAGAAATAATCCTTTCCATGTAATTGTTAAGCCTTGGTTAATGCACTTTAGGTACCTTTCTAAGTTCCAATTTCCTTGTTTTGTGGATGTCTGGTTCAGTTTCCTTTAGGACTACATCAAAAATCTTGATGATCTTTCTAGTTACAGGAAAGAGTCAGCTCATGTTTTTCATTATAACTCCAAAGCATCTGGAGAGTAAAAACCCAGTGATCCCTGAAATAGTCCTTGAAAAGCTACTGAAGAGTAAGACTCTTTGTCTAACACACCACTGAAATGATTCAGTTTGCAGGTGACATCTTTGAGGCTCATGCACCCTCGCACTTTTGCCTTCAGATAAGAACAGAGTTTGCTCCGTATCCCCCTGGACATTGGATTCTAGTCAGAGAACACAGCAAAACTGTCATTTGTCCATAGAATTGTGATCTTAAAATGACAATTGTCCATTATAACCCCTCGTATATCATCACAATATGATTTTTTTTTACGCAGAGAAATGAGGAACATCGTTAGAATCGCTATCATCCTGTTGCTTTCACAATGTTCTGCGGTCCATTCTAAGAGGAAATACGGACGAAAGACAAGTGACAACAACTCGGTGCAAACAGTTAAATATCAGGAACATAGAGATGTTTCTCTCCTTTATGGCGCTTCCAAAGATGCAGAGGATTCCGGCCAAACAATTACAGATGATCGTGAAGGAAGCACCGACTCTTTCAATCGAAATCTCAAGTTAAGGAGGACAGTTAAAAAGCACCATCTAAAAGGTTCACGTGGGTTTCCTAAACGACGTGTTGATGATCTGAGTCACCCCTCTGGGATGAGGAAGAATACTGTTGCGACCAATAATAATCAGTTCAAAGAGTTTCAGGATAAAGAAAAAGTGGCATTCAACATAAGAGGAAGTAAGATGTATGACAAAAAAAATTACGCCCCCCGTAAAAGACATAAATTTCCTCGCAAGACCATACGCCACAAAGAGACATCTACAAAGAAAAGAACTGAAGTCGAAGACGACCTTAGCGAGGAGCGACAAACTATCAAAAAGACACTCGACTCATTTGATGACATATCAGGGTCTTACAATAGAGGTGTCAACATGGACGGCATGGATATCAAGGAAGTGAGCATGATCGACAACAACACTCTGTCAGACTATTTTCACGCTTTGAATGGAAACGCAAGTGAAGGAAATAACAACAACTACATGCAAGAATATGCGTCCTCACCAACACCAGCTTCAACATGGGAAGAGAGTTCACCCTCAGACACAGAAGAAAGTAGTGGTAATGACGACTTCTATGACGCTATTGATCGAGGAGACGAGCCTCCTCCGCTGAAAATGAAAAAGGTTCGTCCCACAAAGTCTAACTTTGACACGTTAATGCACAAGTCAAGCAAGCATGTGGGATCCTCACCGACAAATCCAGGAACTGGGCCGTCGTCTAAATTTCGTTTACCCTCTCAAGAGGATTTCGAAAATTTTTTTCGTGGAATGCTTGATCATTTTGGCCATGGACGAAATCCTGACCAATCTGTACAACAGAGTGAAAGTAAAGTGAATCAACACCAAAGATTGGACAGCCAAAGGAACATTTCAAATTTTTTAGAAGCTCTAGGTGAGCATCGTCCAGGAAACGTAACCAAAGTGGTATCACTGGGAAGCCCAGAGGAAGTAGAGGTTGAAAGACAATCCCAACACCCTAATATGGTCTTAACGTCTAACACAGGTTCACCTCTGTTTACCAATGAACAGGTTGGGAGAGATGGAGAAGGATTAACGCCCTTCCTTCCACCAGAAAACTTAATGAAATGGAGGCAAGGGCCATTTGGAGGCACAAGAATCCCTTTGCACGGTCGCGAAAAAGGGCCCGTAATTAAAGTTGGAAATCCCTTAACATTTTTACGCATACATCCTCAGGACTCTGAAAAACACGTCGATCACTTTTTCCCCAAGAAGCAGAATGGTGCTCTGCCTTCGAATCCATCCTATAAGGGAACTCGGATTATGGGAGGGAAAATATCAGGTGGTCAAATTTCAGGCGGACTAATTAAAGGAGGACAGATAAAAGCCGGGTCGATAGAGGGTGGCATAATTAAGGGGGGCAAGATTGTTGGTGGAAGAATAGCTAATGGAACTATGGAGGGTGGCGTTATTGCTAAAGGGCAAATGTTAGGAGGGCACTTGGTGAATGGTAGACTTGAAGGAGGACAGCTGCTTGGTGGTAATGTATTTGGAGGAAGGATATTGGGTGGAACTGTAGAAGGTGGAGAAATGAAAGGCGGAGTGGTGGCCGGTGGGCGTTTTCGTGGAGGACGCATGCAGGGTGGGCTGCTTAGAGGAGGTGAAGTACAAAGTGGAATTTTGAGAGGTGGAAAAGTCGAAGGTGGTATCCTTCACGGAGGAAACATTGAGGGAGGTGAGTTCAAATTTGGAGATATATCAGGAGGGACCCTGAAGTCTGGGGCGATGCTTGGTGGACAGCTCAAAAATGGAAGTATAGAGGGAGGAACTCTTAAAGGAGGGACAATAGAAGGAGGTATATTGAAAGGCGGAGTCATGGAAGGCGGACACCTGAAGGGAGGGCTTGTTCTCGCTGGTAAAATTAAGGGTGGGGTTATCGAGGGGGGAATAATTGAAGGTGGTGAGATTGGTGATGGGGTTTTAATAAGGAATGGTAAAGTTAACGCCACGATCATAAGTACAGGGAGTACCATTGATAAGAATCAGGAGCTTAGTGGTATATTTCAACAAGGAGAAAATCCGCAGCAGTTAGGACTCAAAGTTGACCAACAAAAGTTTCATCAATCAAATGGTAAGACACCACATGCATCGAAAGCCATGTCAGACTCACCGACCAGTCCTCAAGTGTCTGCCTCAACACCTGAGCACAACCTTGGGCTGACGGTAGTCAATCCAAGTACGGACGTCAAAATACCTATACGAGAAGGAACTCTTAAAATGCTACCACAAGAAAATGATCAATCAGATGATAGTGGTCTTGAAAAGTTGTTATCCGAAGGGAAGTCCGAAGGTGATAGTATAGTTACTCCTGAACTTTCGTCACAGCGGTTCTTTGAGGAACAAGATCAGCCCAGTCGAGCCGTTCAAAAGAAAGGTTCCAAACAACATCATGTTGTTTTTGACGGAGTCGGCTTCGATCTTCCCAATGAAGATTTTGTAGATCTCATTGATAAAATGAAGGAAGGGCCAAAAGTGGTAGAGGACCTAGTCAGTTATTATACAAAGCCGAAAAGGAAGGAAAACTTACATATGGGGAGAATATCAGAAGAGAAAAACGTGCACATTAAGCCGGAGGAACTCGAAGCTAGACTCAGCAGTCCTACAAAACCGAGATCCAGTGTTACTCGGTCTGACAAAGACAAACACCATGACAGTTCGAATGCATCAATTTCCAAATCATCAGACGCTAAAGGTGAAAAAATAAAGGCCGTGAGTTTCAATACCAAGGATGCTGAGAAACGTAAGTGACCCAAGAAGTCCAGTATCATATGTGTTATTCATGAATTCGATACGTTCGTTACTAACGGACGCAAGAATTTCAAATAAGCAATAAGAATTGTAAGATAAGAAACGAGTCACTGAGCCTTTTTATAGTAATCGAACGCCTCGTACAAGCCATTCTCCCTGAAACGCTCGAGATTCTCAAAACTGAAGCTTATAGAAGACCTTAGGAATTAACACAGTAATCAGTGGAACATACACGAGCTAACTTAGCATGATTTTCTTGCAGTGAGGCCAACTTATCACTGGTCTCTAAACAAGCTCATGGAAGATCGAATACCTGGCAGCCCAGGACCAGCCATACGAACACACGGAGAGATGGTAGCTATAAGGGGAGGGCTGCATCTGAATGGTCATAATGCATGGTTGGGAGCTGGCGACTTCTCTGGAGGATGTATAAGCGGTATGATAACTTCCCTTTTTCAAGAGAGTATGGTCGAGGAAATTCTGTTAGTTATTGATTGATGCAGTGTGTGATCAATTGGTGGTCTTTTATCGATTGATTGACTGATTAAATGATTGACCTATTGATTGACGAATTGACGGATTGATGGAATTAATGATTGACGGATAGACGGATCGACTGATTTAATGGTTCAAGGTTTGATTGATTGATTGATTGATTCAGATCCTGACACCTGCGATGATGGGCTCTCATTTGAGATGACGTTTCGACTGGACAAGGATGCCCTGAAATACAACGACATGAATTACATCGTGGACTCGGGAGCGTCGACATTTAATTCCAAAGGCTTTACTCTGTACACAGTACACGGAAAGTTGAGGGCGGACTTAGCTCTTGCTAATCAAGAATTTTGTGTGCAAATTCCTGTGACAGTCCAAAAATGGCAAGATGTCTTGATTACCTGGAAGAAAAGCGAGGGTAAATAACATCTAGCGGCATGAGAACAATACTTATTAAACTGAAGCTTAAACTTAAGAAGACGGCGAGGCCCAACATTAGAGCCTACAGACCAGTCGTCTGTATTTTAGATTTACACGCGCCCTCCCTGCAAATGTAAACTGAAATACAATTGTAAAACTATTAAGATTGTCTGAACTAGATAAAATTGAAGTCGTGAAATACCTTTACCAAAGGCAAGTTGACAACAAACCTTAGAAAGATAATCAATGTCTTGACAAGATTTCGTTACCTAAATTGGAAAGCATCATTAATAGATGGCTATTCTCTATGGCTATCAAGGAAATTATTTTATAATTTAATGCTGATGTCCCTAACTGTAAAACACCATTTTAACAGGAATGAAGATGTATGTAAACTGTGAACTGAAGGCGCACACAAAGGGAAGCGAACACTGCATCGGCTGTCACTCACGCGGCTGTCACGTGACGGACACTAACACGCTACTGATGATTGGCAGGCCGAATTATAGTCCACATTTTCACTGCACTAAGTTTGACAGTGGTGATATATCATTCTGGGAGAAGTATCTGTCGGCGAACGATGTCGAAACGTTGTGTGGAGCACCCACAGGTGAATTGTGCTAAATTTCAGCAAGAAAACTAAGTAAAAAAAGTGCTGCTACCATATATTGATACTATCTTTAACTGACACCCTAACAAAGGAGACACTGGTACCAAAGAGACAGTTGAATCAGTTTTTCAGTTTTCTTTCTTCTAACCACTCGGTAACGAGTTTCAGTAGACAAAAAGATGTACTCCCCAAAAGCAATCGAGCAGAAACGTACTTAGGTTTTTAAACTTGATGTCGCCATGGAATTGTAAGAAAACTCAAGTCAACTTTTTTTTTTGGTCTTTGAAAGCCACCGAAATAAAAAAAAAGTACTGTATGCCCTCGAAGCTAATTGGATTAATTGTCTTTTGGAGAGCCGGAGCGGGCATTGAGTGAAATTGCGTGACACTGCGTATTTCCGAAAAAAATATCCAGATTTTTCAATTTGCTTCAATTTCCCTTTATTTGTCCTCTATTGATTGGAAATGATAGTAGTTTATTTCATGGTTATCGCCGGGACACCTCTCTAACAGCCTCATTAAAAAAAATCAATTGCAGCCTAAGCGGATGTTGGGAATCAATACTTATGAGGATGTCAAAGTTGACCTTTATTTCTCTTTGCCGTATCCGTCCCGAAGGAAAAAATTCAAGACCATGCGACGACGTGGTATAAAAGATGCATCTTATGAATATTATTTGTGATATTGGAGGCCTTAAATTTGTTCCTGTTACCATAGCAATGCAGGTTTACGGTTGATTTGATTTCTCATTCTTTAAACACGACTTTTTTTTCCGCATAATTTATTACCTAGAAGCCGCGAACTTAAAGCAGCTTCTTGGCGGGATAAAGATGAAGACTGATAAAAAAAAAGAAGAGAAAAAGTTTCTAAACAAGGATTTGCAGTTTCAGTGCCTTGGGGTCCACATTTTCTTATACACAGTACTAAAAATTTTGACAAGAGACTTTTCAACGGAGAGAAAGAATTTGCTTAAGGACAAGACAACTTTCCCATATCTGCTAGCGTAATTGCTAAAATATTAATTTTGAAACGCGCAGAAGGCGGAATTGAACCGCTCCGACGCTAATCGGCTACAGGTTTGAAGCCTGCACCCCACACCAGTGAGGCTCATCCGCGCAATTAATGCAATCGAGTAGGTTGCGTATTTATTGTTTTCGAATTGGATTTTTCCACACATGTGGTATGTTTTAGTGCGTGGGCATGGGTGATCAACATTCGATCGTTTTTCCTGCAGTAGCTAAAAACTCTCCTTATTTGAGAGTAAATTTTCCGTGGACAAAAACTTCTAATGCAAAATTTATCACAGTACTGTTGTGATAAGTAAATATTATTTTATCTAAAGTTCTACTGACGCATGCGTAATAAGACGCATCAAATCATTTGCAAAACAAGGTGTAGTTTATGAAGGTTATTGCCAAATTTTACATAGAATTTATCAATCTAATTTGAAAGTCTAAAATCATGATATCCGTTTTCGCACGATAACAACTGAGGTCTTTTCATGCGGTTTTCGATTATGTTTCAGGTGAAAGTGAAAAACCGAGCGCTGCGAATCGAGAGACCAATCAACTGACAGTACAAAGAGCGCCTGTAAATCAAGCCTTCAATCAAGTTAGATATCCAGCCTATCCAATGCAAAGTTACCTCACAAATCAACCATACTTTAATCGATATCCAGGTAAGGTTGTGATGCCAGAGATCAATACTGATCCTCTAGTTATAGTACTTCCTTGGTTAAACTCACTAAATTCAAAGACTGAAAATCACTTGTCTAAATTCCCTGCTGCATCAAGAAGTCTTCTCGAAGCTGGCCAAAGGTTAGATCGTGAAGGTCAAGGACAAAAAACGAAGATTGTGTCGAGGTTATTTAAAAATCAAGTCGCATCTCTAAGTTCACCATCAGGAACCATAGCTCTTTCAGTAATGGACAAAATTCCAATTTTAAAGTCATACAAAGGGGGTAGGTTGGTAATATCACGCTATAATTCATTTTTGCTTCATAAACTATTCCCCTTCGAACAAAAGAAAACCAAATCGATTGCACAACCATCATTAAGTAGGTATCGAAATACTCCTTTCAATATCAGAACCCCAAAACAAAACAAGCTCTTGCCAAACTCAATGCGGCCTGTCTCTCGTGAGGAGAGTTTGGATAACTTTTCTTTGCCGACATTCGAAACAAAAACCACAAAAAATCAGCCCAAGTTTGTCCCAGGCTTACAAATAAGCAACAGCGGTCCCTACACGCACCAAAGCAGAATACAGCATTATTCACCTGCTGCTAATGTACACCCGAATGATCGGAGCAAATTTTCACATCGACATGTGTTTCATCGTTTTAACTATCCTGAAAGGACTAAACCTTGGACAAATACGAATCCTTCTTTCAAACCACAAGTGAAACTTATTAACAATAAAAACTTTCAAATCACCTCACACTACACCAGACTACAGAACGATGCCTCCTTTCGATCACCATTCAACAATGAATTTCATAGACGGCCCCATACTTGGGAAAAGGAACAAAAATTCAACTCAGCTGGAGACAAAGTTGTCACTGAAGGAGAATTAAAAGAAAAAGGTTTATTCGGTGATATTTTGTCCAGGGATCATATTCGTCAAAAGCCAGGTAAAAAGGCAAAAGTGACAGAGAAAAAATCGCTATCTTAAAGTTGTTCCTGGTCGTAGATTCTTTTAACGTTTTAGTTCAAAAGGCAGTGTACATACAACTAAGACAATAGAAGATATAGACATCACTTGATAGGAGTGCTAGTGACTTCCGTTTGAACCTCACTTCTTAAAAAAAAAAAAAAATGGAAAGGGAGTTGTAGTTCTCTGTTCAGTTCGGACCGAGCTTTACGTCAAAATTGAACTTTCACTTTACATTAAGTTGTTTTTTTTCAATGCACAGTTTTTGAAACTTCTTCAATAATCTCCTGATCGATCTTGTTACGTCAACAAAGTAATCACCTTGTAGCAATGCACAGGTGCAGGCACTCGGCAAAAAATAAGGATGATGAAATGAACGAGGGCCAATTCAAAGAAAGAGCCTGCCTCTAAGTTATCCAAGTAAAACAGATTGACGGACTACAAGAATTCGCCAACACGGTGTATGATGCATTAAAAAAACCCATATGTTAATAGATTTTCCATAAGTGGCTTTGAGTAGGAGACCCTATCGTGACTGATGAACTATCCCATATATTTCATGTTTCTTGTGACATTCGGTTCTCTATAATCGAATATTTCACGGTTTCAACTGGGTGGCACATTTTTATCTCTTTACCAGTTACCACTCCATACCGATAGTAAGGTTAATGCTGATGACTCTGGCGGATTCTTGGAAGAACTGTCTTCATATAATCACGCGTTCCGCTTAATCCGCTGTATTGTTTTGCAAGCGTGCAATAAGCTAATTTATTCTAACAATCTTACCTATTGACCGATAACTAAACGTAAGAAGCTAGGTTCACATTTTTAGATTCTCAAAGTTTGGAACCTAGTTGATAGAAGTTTTAGAACGACTTTCGAAAGTCAAAATAAGAACAAAACATGAACTTCTAGAAAAAATATTTTCACCCAAAGAGGTAATGACTGAGAGTATTTTCAAAGTAAACAATGCTTGGCGATAACAACTGTTTTTTTTTTTTTATTTAATCCAGGTTTATTTGCTTCTTAATAAAGCTAACAGCTCTTCAAAAATACAACGCATGGTTTGATGTTTCTATTTTTTTCCTATAACATTTCCCCTGGAATTCTTGAGTGGTAACTGTCCTTTGTCCCATTCTTGTTGTTTCCTGTCTTTCCAAATTACCCTGATCTAATCTATGTTCTAATCTTCAAAAGCCAAAAGCCTGGTAGGATTCCATCGAATTCATAAAAATGTTCACCTTAAGAAATTTGGACCTCATTACACAGCCCTATTATTTTGGACCTATTTACGCAGCCCTATTAATTTTAACAAATCGCTTTGTCATTGAAACCTTAAACTGTTCATTTTGTTGGATCCACTGTCGGTCGAACATAATCCCGCAGAGGCGTTATCCATGGCAAAAATAATCAATCCACCTTCGAGGCAAAATTCCTTTTTATCAAGCTGCTTGCTTTATTCAGTTTCTGCCATACTAAGAACTGTTAATGAATGGTTGCGAGGCTACGCATGCATACTGGAAACTTAGAAGTTCACGGTAATATCCGTATCTCTTGCTCAGGCCTGTTACCCAAGGGAAGTGATGTGAGTCATCAACTGTTTACGCCTTGGAGTTTCTGGAGCGCATGTTCCAAGAGCTGCGGTGTTGGATTTCGAGTTCGCAGGCGCTCTTGTATTAATCCAACACTCTTTCCCAATGGCAGATTGTGTAACGGACTTTCCATTCAACATCAATCATGTTTTGATCGAATCTGCTCAGGTAAGAAAATCGTCTAAGTCTGCGGAAAGAAGGCGCGCAAATGAACTGTAGATAATCAAACGGACAGACAGAGAGACTGACCGACTGTCAACCCGACTGAGTTACAAAGCGACCAACTTAATGAATGACGGACTGATCGTTGATGTTATCTTCTAACTGATTGGATGACTGGCAGACCGAATGCATAATTGATCTGCCTGACTAACTTGATAAGTTCTAAGTAACTAAGTGACGGATCGATTGAGCGACCAAACAACAAAATATGTGTTCAGACTAAATCATTGGTCGAGTCATCTGACTGAATGAATGAACAGTGGACCGAATGATCTGACTGACAGACCTAACGATTGACCGAAAGATTACGTGACTGACTTGCCCAATTAACGACCAGTTGGCTGTTTGCGAGACTGACTGACGAACTGCATGACGGGCTACATGACGAATCAACTGATGATGAAGTGCTTACTAACGGACAAATGAAAGGAAATCATTCTGCTAATTCACTAAGACTGACAAGAGTTGACCAAACTGCGTTGTTGATTTCTTTTACACACTCTTCATTCTTTTTGTATTTTATAAACCGACAGCTTACACCTCTCAAATTCTTCCAAGCCAAGGTCTAGCTGCTCAAAGCGTCAAGCTATTCGCTTTTAATCCAGCGACACTTTATGCAGGTAACCTAAATGATAGCGGTGAATAGAAAGTGTTTTACTTACATTATTAACTCTAAAGTTTAACATTTGACACGTCTTGAACAGTAAAGTTTTTATGATTTTCAACGAATTTTTACTATTCAAATATATTTTTGAAACATCAATCAAGTGTAAATTATAAAAAAGGCTACACGCACGAATCAAGATTTTAAATCCCTAAACGTTACGTTCTGAGTTTGAAATCCTCGCTGGGGAACTCATTTTTAGTTCTTTAGCCCACGTTGGTAACAAATATGAGACCGAGTTCAAATTCTACGATCTTTCTTAACTGATTTCCAACATTGTTTTACGATATTTAGCATTTCATAGCCCAAAAGTCTCAAGCTTGCAACGTGGAACCGAGCCTGGTCTCACTCGCGCATTGACTCAAGGTAAGTTTACGCGTTCAACTATATCACGCGCAAGCTACACGCTAGACATCCCCATCGTGGTCCACACATCTTTTGGCGCACACGCAACACAAACGAGTAGAACAGATCCTACTAGGCGAAATCTTGGATGATTACGGCAAAAAAAAAAAAAGAAAAAAGAATCGTTTACATCACATTGGTCGCGATCTTCGGCCGATCAGTATGTGAATATAATTGGTTCGGCGTAAGAGGTGGTCTATTAACTGAAAGACAATGATTGAGGGGACTGATGTTTATAATGTCGCCATGGAAAAACTTCAACTGAGTTAGTTCAACTGGCAATAAGAAGTTAAGTTCATGAGTGGAACAATAATTTTCCCCAATAAGATGGTGGAACTCGAGACCTTTAAAGCGGAAGAACTTCGCACGAAGTCAGGAGGCGAAAAGTTTAAATCATTTATCATGCAAGGACTCTCCGATCACAAATGCTCTTTTCCAGTACGAGCGTTGAACATCATTTAAAGACGTTTCAATTCTACGTCACTTTCAGTTTCCGTGAACTTCATCGTTCCCTTCTCGGCAGCGTCGTGTATGTAGTTAAGTCGATAGAAGTTATGTTTAAACTTGACGGCTTCCATTTTCTTCTCTCAGATGGCGGATACAGTGACTGGTCAGACTGGGGTAACTGTGACAGGACCTGTGGAGGAGGCGCTCAGGTGCGAACCAGAATTTGCAACAACCCCCTGCCCTCTGGTGACGGAAAGATGTGTCATGCGTTAGGACCAGCCATTCAAGTTCGACGCTGCAACCGCCGTGGCTGTCCAGGTATAATCAGCAACAAGAGAATATAAACTGTTACATTCCCTTGTCAGCAATCAATGAAGGTTTACTTTTGAAACATTTAGGAATGGAAAAAAACTTTAAGAAGTTTACGGAAAGAAGGGTTGTACTTTAAAGAATAGACCCGTTGACAGACTCGACATGGTGTCTTTCGCGACATTAAACTGAGCCTCTCTTCCCCAACCGTCTCTGGACCTCTGGTTTGAAAAAGGTCAAAAATATTGCAAAATAACAAATACTAAGACATGTACATTCTGATGGACAGACTCGAGTTTCTGATAAATATCTCGGCTTTCTTGAAATGTTTTTGAACAACATTGAGAATCCTCTATCAGAATGGTATACCAATGGAATACTGCGTGCAAATAGTTTGCCCCATGTAAGAACTGAGTGCAAATAGACTTTCCCCCATGTAAGAATTACATGTATATGAATTTGTATTCCGAACTGTTTTACTCTTCACCACAGTGGATGGAGGATACAGTCCATGGAGCGCATTTGGTCCTTGCTCCAAAACATGCGGCAGCGGAGGAATTCAGCGGCGAGTTAGAACTTGTACAAACCCCACCCCAATGAATGGTGGAAAGCCTTGCTTTGGACGCCCTCTACAAACACGAACCTGCAACACGAGGAGCTGTCCAGGTACTTAAGCTTGCCAACAGAGACTAGAATCAATTATTACACTAATGTTGACCTCTAGGGGAGGATTTGGTTGTTAACTTGTGTGATTGGTCAGGGTATTTAGAAATCTCTCACCCTGTCCGTGGCTGTAACTAGGTACTGATAAACTGTTAAAGAAATTCGTACCACATGTTGCGCATGCTTTGACAAGACGAACAGCAAACCGCTGGACACTGCACTCCCTGAAAAAATCTGAAGAAGTTTTGGCAAAGGGAAGTCGCCTTGACCTTACAAGCTACGCTCGCCCCCTCTCTATCTAAACTAAAGATCCCCCACAAAGAATATAAAATTAAAACGCTCAGCTATGTCACTGATGACTCATCAATTCTGTTCAAGCGTGCGCGCAACTTTAACTAAAATTTATTGTTCACCTGTACAGTTGATGGGGGATACAGCATGTGGTCACCCTGGTTGCCATGCGACGCAGATTGTGGGGGAGGAATTCAAGAGAGAACCCGTTTTTGTGATAATCCCCATCCACAGATTGGCGGTAGGGACTGTTCCATTTTAGGCTCAAACAAAGAGACGCGACTGTGCAACCTCTTCCCTTGTAATGTTAATGGTTTTTAGTAAAATAAAGTTCAGTGATGATTTGAAAAAAGCCAAGTATACTTAAAAACATTAACAAGAGCCGGCAGGTCTATTTGCATAACGTATGAGTATTGTCTGTTACGTATATCACTTCACTTCAAGTTCATCAATTCCCTGAAGAGTTAGATTTAACATGTCTCCACTTGCATTCAGTAGATTTAACATGTCTCCACTTGCACTCAGTAGATTTAACATGTCTCCACTTGCACTCAGTAGATTTAACATGTCTCCACTTGCATTCAGTAGATTTAACACGTCTCCACTTGCATTCAGTAGTGAGCAATACAAAGTAACTTAACAATACCATAACCATAAGGTCACGCGTTGATATCAATCAATTTTTGACAGCACCACTGTATCAGAAAAAAGGCATATTGTAATAAAATACGTTTTAAAAGAAAACAATGATTATTGCCTTCATATCCCAGTTTGGTGCCAACTGAGTCATTTCCCCATAATTACAAGCGAGTCCGACAATAGTGCCATGCTCATAGATCTGAGTTTGCTAGCCTGACCCGTGACGGAGATTTATTTACTCAAGATATAAATTTCTGATTTAAAATCACTGCTTTCATTGATGGCAGGCTTGTAGGCTACCAGAAACTCTCAAAGTGGAAAGCAGTGAAAACTCTTTTCAGTTTATGTGTACACAATAATATACACAGGCCATTATGGTGGTTACCTTCATCAAAATAAAGACACTGGATACCATAATCAGTACCATGTCACTTATAATAGATTAAATAACACCTAATAATCACAGCTTGTGTTCCACAATATCACAACAACCAACTAGCTTGAAGCCAGATGTCATTATAGATTGGGGGCGCAAGTGTTTGTTGGAATGAAGAATTGATTTTTGTCATCTCATGCCTGCAAGAATCCCTTTAGATTATCCTCTTGGCCCTTGAGAGTGACCAGCATCTAATTTCTCCTTACAATATCACCTCCAGATCAGACATTAAGGTCACAGGAATAAAGCTCTTAATTGTTACACACATTCTCCTTGTCAACGCCCCCAGGAAATTTATGGAGAGCAGTATGGAGAATATGCATACCAATATTGGGATGTAAAGGGTTAATCATGGGAATGAGTAAATTACAAAACGGTGTTTTCTTTGGGTTATTTGTTTGTTTTTTTGGTTCTAGTGTATGGTATTGTGTTTAAAGTTTTAGCAAAACAATCTTAAATGATAAAAGAATAGAGCAGTATCTCTGTGGAACATGTTAGATGAAGACCTGAGAAACGTTACATCTGTAAAGGCCTTTAAGAAAGTCCTGAAACTTGCCATGAACAAATGATGGAGTGACAGTTAGAATTTAGAATTTAACAATTGCTTGTCAGATATAGTTAGCATTTATATTTGTAAATAGGTGCTGAAAAACCACATACACATACACGTGCTGAAGTTTAAATGAACAACTTCACAGCTAATACCCCCACCCCCTTTAAAAAAAAAAAAAACAGTCCAAGTCTACATGTAGTGGGAAGGTGGGGATTTTATTGTATTTGAAAATTATTAATGCAGTGTTAATGAGAAACACTATAAAATGTTCACCACAAGAAGTTATTGACTTAATTAATAAACCTGTAATTCCAGAATTAAGGACTGGAAGTGTTAATAGCAAATATCATCATCAACTCAGCAAGTTACTGGTTTTATGACCAGGAAACAGCAATGGGGAGTCACTTTTCAACCAAACAAGCTTCTTATAAATAAAAATACCGGTAGGTCAAGTTTTCAAAGACTCTAATACTGGTCCTTTACTTCATTTAGTAAAATAATATTGCAGCAGAGGCTAAATTTTGGTTGGAAGAGGACTTTCCTGGGAAAAGAGAGAACTAGATGAAAATGTATTTGTAAGTTCATGCATGCATTTCTCTGTAAGCAAGTGTTGAACAAACCTCACCCCACCTTTCCCAGTTTAGCAGGTAGGTCTTGATCTGATTTTTTTCTGAGACCGGCAACTTGTCTTGTAAGACGTGTATGTTTATGAAGGCTGGAAAGTAAATAACTGCTTCCGGCAGCTGAAGTTTATTGCTGATCAATGCTAAAGAACTTACTAGGTAAAACCAATCTTGGGTTGCTCTACAATGTCTATTGTTGTGTGGCTATTATTTATTGATTTTGTACTCTCTCCCTTTGTAACACATGGTGCTAGCATCATCTACAAGTACTATCTGCAACACAAGAAATCAAACATGGCCAGCTCATAGCTTTTTGACACGGAAAAAAAAAGTTTATACAGTTCTACATGTACACTTATACATTTTCATTTTTGTTTTGCCAGAAAACACAAAAATACAGCAATAGTTTTACAATAACTACCAGCATTCTATAAATTCAAGAGGATAGTAAGCCACAATTGTAGGATCTGTACATAATGGGAAAAGAAGGCAAAGAAAACAGGATATATCTGAGAATTAACGGATTCATGTGGCATATTGTGTCACATTTGCAGGCATCAAGCAAGCTTAAAAACAACCTCTAAACAATTTACCCAAAAGGCAAATACAGGTTCATATTCTAACACAGTTCACACTGCATTGATAATAAAAGTATGTAGAATCTGGGTCTTTTATACATCAGCATGAAAATTTTTTCCTAGATTTCTTTTTGTCCTTTTTTACTTTTATAACACCAGATTGTTCATTGGCCTTTGCTTGTTGTTCCTTCTTTTGTCGTAGAACCATACGTGTTATTGCATTGAATACCTATGAATAATCATGTTGAAAATAAAACAAAATAAGTCTGGGTGCTTGCTAGTTCAAGAATGAATTTAACCAAATCATAAAGTTCAGACTGACTCACTGACTGGCTGAAGAATGAACAGGACTGATGGACAGCCACACGGAAAGGTCAGAACGACAGGATGGAAAAAAGAGATGTCTTGCATGGCTTGTTGACTGGCTGACTGGCTGCTTGACTGACTATTTCAATGCCTCAGTCACTGACTGATTGAGTGATTAGCAAACACTGATTGATCACATGGGAAAATTGATTGATTGATTGGCAACTTTCAATTTAATGATTGACTGGTTTAGGTAGTGATTTGTTCATTTACCCCTTAATGCCTCAGAGTGACAAGCATCTATAAAGATTATTGACTCATGAAACTCTTGACTGTTACACAAATTCTCCTTATAAATAACATTGGAAATGTATAGTGAACAGTATGAAGAATTTGTATGCCGACCTTAGGGTGTTGAGGGTTGATTGATTTGTAAATTCAGTGAACAACTGATTGATTGACTGCTGGATTGATTAGCCACTTGACCCTAGAACCAATCAATTGGGCAATCTATACAACAATATCTCAACATGACTTTTTGATGAATGTTAGTAAGGGTATCTTAAATATGGCATTATCTGTTTACTTGAAATGTATATTTCACTCTGAAATCAAGAGGCAGTTATAAAAGCACAAAAAACCCTTGTCGAAAAAATAGCCAACGATCATTGAAAAACATGAACTTAAACTTGTTAGATATAAAAGAATCTTAATCAGGTTTCACTGCATGTGTCTGGTTATGGAATTCATCCCAGTCTCTCTCTCACTACCCAAACTAAGAGTGTTTCATTTTTCTGTTAAAACAAAGGAAGGCCTAATTATACAATATGGAAGAACAATACATACATCTTCTACATTTTTGTTGTCTTTTGCACTTGTTTCAAATACTTGGATCCCCATTTGTTGTGCAAACTTCACAGCATCTTCTTTTTCAACAACCTTTTTTTCTGGATTATCATCTTTGTTACCAACTTGGGAGAGGAAAAAATATGATCAAATTACAAGGCTGCAAATTGCATGATACCAAAGATAGCATAATCCAGGTCTCCAAACTACATATTGAGTCACAAATTGTTTTCCCAATCACCATGTTGACCAAAATAGTTGTAGCTTGGAGTGCTGTAAAGAAGTTCTGCTCTATTATCCCTTTTTTTGTTGTCATTACATATTAACAATTCATGGCATCAAGATTAATTCATGAACAGCAAACAAGAGAAACAAAATTAAAATAAATAGCTACTGGAAGCCACAAAATACTGAGTGGAACAGGCAATATCAGTCCTGTTTAGATTCTTCTCTTATAATGTAATTACAAAGAGAATTCTCCCCAAAATTTATTTCAATAAAATAGGTATTATGCAATGAAAACTGACTCACCCAAAATTCTCTGGACATCATCACAATTTTGATCAATTTCATGTAACCATCTTTTCACGTTTACAAATGTATCAGCACTTGTTACATCATATACTACTATAACTCCATGTGTTCCTCTGTAATATCTGTTGATCATTAGTCATAAATGAATAAAAGTTAATATGTGATATTTTCACCAGAGATCTACTTTATTTTCCTCTGTAATATCTTTTGACCATTAGCCATAAATCAATTAAAGTTAAGTGATATTTTCACCAGAGACCTACTCTATTTAAAAAGAGGACTGTAAATGCACTGTCATACAGGACATTGCATTGTTCATCTAGCCAAGATGAACACAATTGTAGAAACCCTACCATTGAAAAAATTTCCTGCCGTAACATCAGTAGTTATTAGATGATCCATATAGCCCTACATGCTCAGTTATTGAAAAACATTACAAGATCCCTGTAAGAGGGGTGTGCACAATGGTGCAAGCAGTGCTGAAACAACTACACAGCCTGGCATACTGCCACTCAAGGTGCAGCAAGAAAAAAAAAGAAGAAAGGAATAAAGAGACAGAGCAGTGCTCATAAAATAAACAGCTCATTGACCACATATGGTCAAGCTGAAGAGGAAAATACTTAGTTTGGTGGCAGTGTATGGACCTTAATGCACTCATTCTGAATGTCAAGATCTCTGGGCTAACATTTTCAGGTCCACAATTCCCACTAAGTTATTAAGTACATGTGCATGACCTTAGTATAGCTTGTTATTTCCCTTGTTGTATGAATTGCACAGAAAACAATTAGGTTTTTTGGGTACTTAGCATAGCAATACTGAATTACTCTTCATCTTTAACCACAATTAACTACCATGATTGTTTAACTGCTCTCTCTGTGGTTTAACAAACTGATGTCTCTGTACTGAATACATCAGCTTGTTGTAACCTGTATTTTTAAAAAAAATATTTAATACATTTTACATTTAAAATGAATTTGAAACTGCAGAAAGGTTCTTACGTTGATGTTATTGTACGAAATCTTTCCTGTCCGGCAGTATCCCAGATCTGTAATTTGACCATCTCCCCATCCACATTAATCTTTCTTATCTTAAAATCCACACCAATTGTTGTAATGTAGGATCCTAGAAAAAGTTTCCCAAAAGAAAGCAATCTGGTAAAACTTCAGGATTAATGAATAATGCATGATGAAAGGGGGCACTGGGGTCTGCGACACCCCAAAACGGTTACCATAGAAAAATAGTTGACAACTGCAAAACCAAAAAAACACTTGATCAAAGCGGAATAATACATACAGAGCCGTAAAAGCCAATGAATTTTAACTTCCCAGCTATAAAAATTCTAATTGATCCCATACAGTGGTGACAAGTGGAGTTCACTGGTTTTGTGGCTATTCAAGATCAGTGGAGGCACATAATTGCTGCCCAGATCAAAGAGAAACCAGAACCCAAATAGGAAAAGCCAATAAAACCACACTGGATACCAAATCCAAACACCTATTAGTATTTCTGAGAAAAACCAAAACCAAAATGCTTTGAAACAGAAAAGCAGAAAAACAGAAAATACAATGAACACCAAAACCAAAAAACTGATGTTTTTTAGCACCAAAAAAACCTGAAAAACTGATGTTTTTTTGGCACCAAAAAAAACCGAAAAACTGATCTAAAAAGTGGCCAAAACTGAAAAACCCAATGCCCCCTCCACAATGTATATATCAACAACAATCAGCAACTTAATCTAGTTCAAGAAATAGAATGGGAGAGAGGTAAGTCAGCCCTTTTCAGTTCACTGAAAATTACACAGTAATATAAGAATAAAGGCTGAAAGTTTCTAAAGAAACTGTGGTGCTGCGTTGGTGGGGGTGACAAGGTAATTTGGTTATATCAACTAAGTTGAAATTGTAAATTGGCCACCCTAATGAATAAAAAAGCTGATGTTTTGAGTGTTAGCCCTTCGTCAGAGCGAATGATGAAGGGCTAATGCTTGAAACGTCAGCTTTTTAATTCGTTATGGTGGCCAATTTACAATTTCAACTTAGTTGATATTACCAAATTACACTGTAATACATGTTTGTCTGTTGCTCGTATAAAATTTTCAGACACATACATGTAGCACCCCTTTATTTGGCCAATCTTGAGTAAGCAATAAGAAGTCACAAATGAATGTAATTCTGTTGGTCTCAGAAACCATTGCTAGAACATGCAAAACATCACCAGCAGTTCTGTTCATTTTGAAAGTAAATGTAGCCCCATTCTCTGATATAACTTAGGAGATCAAAAGATAAATATCTCTTGTATATACCTGAAAACATATTATCCGCAAATCTGAGTAACAAACTGCTCTTTCCAACACCTAAGAAGAGAACAACAAAACTAAAAGTTAAGAAAAATTTCTGTGCCTATCTGGTTACACTGTTGTACACACTCTAAATGTACAAGACTGGATTGAGATTCCAGCATAGTACTACAAAGTTTAAAATATACTGAAATTATGTATGATGCACGACCGCAGTTCAAAATACATGAACTTCATATATTCATTGTATCATACTGAAATTAACAGCCTACATAAGTAATACTAATTTAGGAAGCTGATATTTCAATGTTATGCCTCTATCACCCTTGACTGAAAGCTTCTCTGCTGACCTTAGAATATATGCCGCCCAGTTAGCCCAATGGATAGTGCGCTGGACTGTTGTGCGGGAGGTCGAGGGTTCGAGCCCCGGCCGGACCAACACTCAAGGTCTTAAAAAAATTGAGAAGAATTTGCTACCTTTCTATAACATCAAGAAATGGTTAGATATTCTAGTCTTCTCGGATAGGGACGAATAAATGGAGGTCCCGTCTCCTGCAGGGTTGGGGGTAGGAGACATTAATTTCCTACACACGAGATTACTGTGTGATGGATGTCCTCCCCTGGGGTGGGAAGGGTGGGTTTACTGGCACCGCAGTAATTGGCACAAGCTGTTGCGGTGTCCCTGCCGGTCGGCGAAGCTAATAAATTCACCTGACTAAACTAAATATTTTCCCTTAGGGCCTCCACAGAGTAAGTGTAAGAGTGTAAGCTAGGGGCTAAAGCATCACACCAAAGTCATGAGGTCAAACTGATTCAAACACCTTTGTTTGAATGCCAAATGATTCTTTCCTCTTAACTACACTTTTCTACTTGCTAAACACCCACACTGGTCTTTTTTATTAAAAGATTTTAAAAGCACTAACTGTTCGTTTGTACAATATTACATCACGGTCAACGTATTTTCAAATGAAGTGCGCGCGTCAAATACAAGGTTTAGATACATGTAAGGTGAAATTTAGCGTGAAATTGAGCTAAAATTTGTCCCATTTTCGGTTATGACTCCCGGGATTTTTACTTTGGTTTCCTTTCTCTTAACAGAGAAGCTTTACATGCGACTTTTTTCTGCACAAGTTTGCAATATTAATAACACGATACACACTGCTAGAATCAGCTGTTTGTAAATATAATTTGAATGTTGTTAAACTCTTGACAATATAGTTGTGTAAACATAAAAGCTGACAGAAAACCTAGAGAATTGCTTAGATATACCTAGCTCCACCAAGGAACCACTGAACTAATTCTCATTGGTTTCAAAACTCGTCCACAACGCCATAAGTCATCGACACATGATCATTCGTGTTCGCACAAGCGATTATGGCCAGTTTGTTTACAAAGGCAATGATTGTGAATAGACGCCCTCCTATCAGGACAGCTGAAACATATCAGCCTTATTCAGCATGCTATAAAAGACCTAGACATTTCTGTATGAATTTACAACTACAACGGTTTGTTCTGCTGCCATTGGCAATTTTTGCGACGTTAACGTTTACAACTTTCAACTTAGCTATGTCCCATTCCGGTTTCCTTATTGAAGTCAGAATTTTCCTCTCACTTACCGCTATCCCCAATGATTAAGAGCTTGAACAAATGATCATAATCCCTGGCAGCCATATCTGAATACGCATTTAAAATAACTATACAAGCTTAAATAGAAAAGGGAATATTTCCCTTTTGCTTCTCACAGGAAGTAAGCTTGAGAAGAGTAGAAAATTGTGATCACGTGGGGCATTCGAGGTGGGGCTTAGCTCGACCCAGATTGTTATCAACCTATCTATGAAGGCTTGGCTTCCTAGTAAAAGTATTTATTAAGGCCAGCTGATTGGGACGCCTTGCATTGATGGACAGTTGAAACCGATTATGAACTTTTTACGCCTCAAGAGGTTGTGTTATTTTGTTTGTAATAGTCGTTTGCGTGCTGAAACAGGCTACTTACCGCAATGGCAAAGTTTTTCACATTACAGCACAATAAATGGGAGGTGAGAAACTTGTCTTTAACCAACTTACAAAAATTGCCATTTAAGGAAGTTGTTTATAAACATTGACCGGAAGGGTGGATCAAACATAATATCCTCATTGTGTACTGCTGCCAGTTTTGTTTGATTAGAGCAAAGTGGTTGACGAGGATATCTTTCTGGATCAAAATCAAACCTAAAAAATTGTTAGAACTAGAAAAAAAATGTTAGAACTAGAACTGGAGCGGCTAAGAGCCGCACAAGAAAGACGTTACCTAATCAAAACGTATTTTTTTCTTATTATGTAACTTTGCTGGTCTTTTTAGTTCAGCAGTTAAATTAGCTTATGAGAGCTTAGATGCAACCTCTGAAGGGGAAGATTTACCACCTATAGTTATTTTGCATGGCCTGTTTGGATCAAAAACAAACTGGAGGACACTGGCCAAGTTATTTAACAGGGAAACTGACAGAAAGGTACACAACCAGCATCCTTCTGTATTATCAGTTTTTCCAAAACTGTCACTATGTTCAAAAATAATTTAAGCAATTTTGCCATGGGTTTTCCAGGTGACACTTTAAAATTTAAATTACTTGAATTGTACACTTGACAATTTCTATGCTCAGAGTGGAAAATAAAAAGGAAATTACATAATCAATAATTAACTTTGGGATACAAAAATGTCCAGGTGAACAGTCACAGCACTCTTCACTGATTTTCTGTTTGTCAGAGATTGATCAACAAACAGGCAGACACATAGACAGCCACACACACACGCATGCACACACACACACACACACACACACACACACACACACAGAGAATTAGAAATTGCCCTTTAGTACATAATCTCTACATTTAAAGGTTTTTTATGTTTCATATTGTCCTGCCAGATGCAGATGGACAGACAGAAATCATATTGTCAGTTAGTCAGATAGTAAGAAAGTCATCTGATACTTATTTTGTTCACCACAGATGGAAATTGAAAGGGAGACTGAAAAACTAAGATACGAATTTACCTATAGAATGATATAAGTAAAATTTTGTGATAATCATTCCTTTCAACAGATGATAACTAAAAGGCAGATGGTTAAGCAAACAGCCTTCTGATCTCAGAATTTCACACTCTCTTACTGTAGGTAGTTACTGTTGATGCAAGGAATCATGGACAAAGTGATCATAGTCCAGACATGAACTACTTTGATCAATCTCTGGATGTATGGCATTTGTTCCAAGAACTGAACCTTTCAAAAGCAGTTTTAATGGGTCACAGTATGGGAGGAAAAACTGCCATGACATTTGCTCTGTCTCATCCAGAGTTTGTGGACAGTCTTATAGTGGTAGACATGTCCCCTACAAAACTGTATTTAGATGAAGATATTCCACGCTATCTTGCAACAAAGCGGGCAATGAATTTAAATCTCATCAAGGATAAGAAAGATGCTGAAAAGATGTTGATGTATGTTGTACCTGTAAGTATTGTTGTCTTGTAACACTTTCACTTTTAACCTTTAACCACCATGAGCAACCAAGACAGAATTTCTCCTTACAATATCAATACAATATCAAGCAGACAAATAATGAGAATAAGGAAAAGAGAAAATCAGGGATTTATCAGTTGATTCAATATCAAATTCTCCAAACTGACATTATGAGAACTGTATGGCAGACAGTAAGGAGAATTGCTAATAAGATCTTGGGAGTGAAAGGGTTAAGCATGACTAGTATCTAATTTCTCCTAACAGTATCACCCTGAATCATATTAATGTCACAAGAATAAAGGAAATGATCATCAACTAAACAAGCTCTTGATTGTTAAACAAATTCTCCTTTATCGGCACCTTAGTAAATGTATAAAGAATAGTATGGAGAATGTACATACTGATCTTTAGGTGTAGTTGGTTAGGTTGATATGAGGCTCAAATCGTGACACAAAAGTCATTCTATCTTTTCTGCTTGTTTGATGTAGAATGCATTTTTAAGGTCATTCTTTCTTACCAACCTTATCAAAAGTGAAGCTGGTTTTAAGTGGAGAATTAACCTGGAAGCCTTGGAGAATAACATATCTGAAGTTGCTGGCTTTCCATCAAATTTTCCTCACAAACAGTTTGAGGGAATGACACTTTTTGTTGGTGGAGCGAAATCAGACTACATCCAGTAAGTGCAATTATGGTGTTTCAAAGTAATTGACAGTGTGCTGTGAACCTTGAAAGATTTGTGGCTCCAACAGTTATAACATTAAAAAGAAAGATTAAAATAAAGTAAACAGTGACAGTAAAGATTACTGTCATGAAAATCATTTTTTGTCAATTATTTTTGCCAATTTCATTTTATGCACTTTTATTTTCAGCAGGAATATAAATATGACTGTTTGAAGAGAAGCTTCTCAGTTCATGAGTAGGGATTTTTAATTATTGAATGATTACTCTGAGGATCCCAAATATACTTAAGACTGGCCCAGACTGTTTTGTCATTTAAATTTTGTAAAAACACTCTAAATTTCACAGTTATGCCAAATCAACCAGTTAAAATCAATCACTGATAGGTTGGGATTCATTTTCTAAGTGGCAAGACATGTATTATTTAAATACCATGTTGTTCATAGTAACTGAATGGACATAACTATCAAGTGCAGTTCTTCCTGTTCGTCTAATATCATGTGTTAAGAGACACAACTTATTATTTCTTTTTCAGAGTGGAGGAGTTTCCTGCAATTCGCAAACTGTTTCCCAGAGCAGACATTAAATTTATCCCTGACAGTGGTCACTGGCTTCATTCAGAGAAACCAAAAGAATTTGCGCAGACTGTGATAGAATTCCTAAATGAATGTTTACAAGATCATAGTTAGCAATAATTGAAAGTACTTACAATTTTATGATCATTGTCACAAATACATGGCACAATTGCTCAGTGTAAATATAGGTTTGTTGTTAATAATGATTTCTTTTCTTTCTTATTGAGCAAAATATATGGCATAAAGATTATTTAAAGGTAATATCTTGGATAGTATTTACAAATTCATCATTGTCCTCACCACACGCACTGCTATCAACATCATCATCAGTGTCCATCTTTATAATCCTTACATATTTGCCACTATTCCCAGTTCTTGTGCAGTTTGTCCAATTTTTAAAGGTAATAAGATTGCAAATGGTTGCTTAACATTTTTCCCTTTATATTTTATACCCTATATTAAGAGCTTCTATTATTAATTATAGAACATATTTGCTTACTTACATATTAAAAAACATTTTGTAAAACTTATATCATCACCACTTAAGGTTTAATTTTAAATAGCCATCTTCGGTGTTGAATCATACGTACAACAAAATGTCTTTAAATGAAGATAATGAAACAAGCACAATTGTTTGTGCTTGATTATAGTCAGAATAGAAACACATTGTTTTTGTGCATATAACTAAAGCTTAATTGTTAAAATCAATCAAATTGTTGTGGCACACGTATCAGTGTGGTGTATGACATTAGAATTCAGGCTGTCACTTGTCAGCCTCATATTGATGTGTCACATTGGAGCCGACATATTGTGGGAAAATAAATCTCTGTTGAGTTTTCTTATTATCTTTAAGACTTAGTCCATTGCTTTACACAACAATTAGCAAAGGCAGAACTCAAGCTAGTCCAATCCAGAGGTTAAAGTTATCATTTATCTGCCAACCAATTCTCAATTGCTGTCAATAATTCTTGAGTAAACATGAGAAAAGTTAACAGAAGGGGGGTAGGTCAATTTGCAAAAGACTGGTGACTAATAATGGTCACTGTGAAGAGTTTCTAAAGCAGACATTTTGAGGGTCAGCCATTTGTCCAAAATGAGCTTGCAGTCTCCTAACAATATTGACTACACAATTCAAATCAGCAATTGGGAGCCTTCAAGCTTGATTAAAATGATTCAGGTTTGCCTAAGAAATAGCATCAACAGCCCTTGGAACACCTGCTTCACTCCTTGGTGAATAATCAAGAGATGTTCAGGAAATGAACATATACCACTCCTTCCTAGGCACACTGCAGGGAACTCTTTGAATGATGCCAAGATGCTGCAGGAGTCCCTTAAATGAGGTGCTTGAAAAGTATTACTCATGGAGCTCCTGCAGTACATCAGTGTTACTCTAAGAATTCTTGGCTAGAATCAAGAAAATGGCAGAAATGAACTTTTTACTTTTTACACCTAGCATCAGTATGCATATTCTCTGTATAGTTCTCTATACATTTCATACGTATGATGCACGATCCTCGCAGTAGAGAGCGCAATTTATGCAATAGCGAAAATCAGACCTGAAAAAAATCAGGCCTGTACGGGATTCGAACCACTGACCTCTGCAATACTAGTGCAGCGCTCTCAAGCCAACTGGGAGCAGGCCGTTAAGTTGATTCGTAATAAACCTGTGATGATAAATCAGATACAATGAATATATGAAGTTCATATATTTTGAACTGCGGTATTAGATATGTATGATGCATGATCCTCGCAGTAGAGAGCGCTATCTATGCAATATATGAATATATGAACTTCATATATTCATTGTATCTATACATTTCATGTTGAAAAGGGGATATTTGTAGACCAGGGCCGAGTTGTTCAAAGCTGGGTTAAGATAACCCAGGGTTACTGTAAAATCTGATTTCAGATCTCAAAGCTTTAAAAGGAAATTCAGTGGAATTCTTTTTGTCTACAACTTGGTGATTGGATGCTCTAAAAAGTGTAAGGAGTATTATCCCAAAAAAGACTTGAACAAAGGATTAAAGAAACCCTGATTAGAATTTAACCTTGGGTTAGTGCCAATCAGCCTTCGAACAACTGGGCCCAGGAGAATTTGTTACCCATTCCTTTTAATAAATACATATCATGACTTCATTTTTGTTTCAAATCATTTTATTCTTTCAGTTACAAAGCATTGAAACAACTTCCATGGCAAGAACCCATTCTCATAAAGTAGCAAGAGTGTTTCTCAACAGTTGTGAAATTAAAACTTAATTTATCCACAACTGTGTCATGTTCTCTTAAACACCTTCACAGTCTGGGGTGACGCGAAAGCTGTCATACCAAACACTTTGTCTTCTCTACATTACTGACAATTTGTGCTGTAAATTATACTAAAGAAATATGAAAGATATAGTCTAGAAACACAAATTTGTAAATTTTATATTAATTTTTTTTGCCTGTAAAATACAAGGAAATGAATTTATGTGAACATGTACGGCCACTTGAAAAACCTACACTCTACCCAAATTATCCTGCTCATAGATATTAGAAGAAAAAGAATCTAAAGTTCAGTATGGTCTAAAGTATCATCTCCCTCATCTTCCTCTTCATCAAATTCTTCACTTTCGTCATCTTCTGGCTCCTCTTCTTCTGGCTCTTCCGGCTCTTCTGGTTCCTCTGGCTCATCGGGCTCCTCGGGAACTTCACTCCTGGCTTCTGCTGACTTAGGCAATCCGTGCTTCTCTAAAAGTTGGGATATTTCTTCTGTCTTCATTTCTGAAACATCTTCCTCCTGTGTGGAGGAACACCAAATAGAAACCAGACCAACTGTGAGCTGTCAGATGACTAAGAGGTGTCAGTGTCTGTACAGACAGACATCAAAACCTTTGTCAGATAAAGTTAGATTTTTAGACTTTTAGAAAACAATGCCACCATTCATAGCAGTGAAATGGTAAAAATGGTTAACTCACCAGCACCACCTTGTTGTCAGCATTTAAGAACACCATGGTTGGGTCTTTACCAGGAATGTACTTAATGTTCACATCATGGCTATTCATCATAAAGGAATAAAACTGACATGTTTTGGTAAATTATAGATGGGAGAAAATACTGTTTAAGACAAGTTCGTGTGAAGTCAGCATTTGTGCCCCATCCTCCACACTTCTGCAGGTTATCCTGGTTTCCTAAGCATGGAGCATTTAGGAGTAGTGGTGCCACTGTAAAGAGTTTTAAAGCTGATGTTTGGAGTGTTAGCCCTTTGTCAGAACAAATGAAGGAATTGTGGGTTGTGTGTGTGTGTTTATAGGCAGAAAATGGGGCTACCCTATTTGTGGGAACAATGAAAACAAGAAAAACAAGAATAAATTAGTTAAAGGAAAAGCCTTCCCTGAAAAGATGGGGAAATCAGAACTCTTTTTATTCACCTAATTCCTTCTTGTTTTCTTGTTACCATTTTCAAGTTTCAAATTACATTAATGGCTAACACTAAAAGGATACTGGAAAGGCAAAAGCTCTGAAATGAAAGCCTTCACCTGTTGAAGTATAAAAGGAACATAATTTATTCTACTGATTAAAAAGTGTAGGACAGGCTAGCTTAACTCTGATATAATACCATAGACAGTTTTGATTTCTACTGAGGGCCTTACTAAAGGGGGCATCAATCCTTCGTGACAGCAGTGCCATGGCTTTGGAATGGTCTTCCCGTAAGCATTAGATCTGATTGCACCAAAAGTGATTTTAAAATGAAACTTAAGACATTTTTATTCAGCAAGGCATTTTGTTAGTGCGACTAGTTTATATTTAGATTTTATATTTAATGGCTTCTTTTTTTCTGCAAATTACTCTTCTTATAGCCAATTGTAATAGTGTAGTTTTTGTCTTCGATTTCATAGTGATTGTAAATAGGTTCTTATTTTCTGTTTGTTATGTTTGTAATGTGCATTTCAATTGATTATTTTATAGAAAATGTGCAATATAGATCTTAAATATTATCATTATTACTATTATTATTATTATTATTACTGCAGTACTGAACTTCTAGATGCTGAGCTTACTAAAAAAAAAACAGGGCGTAACAATGTAACCTAACACCTAGCAAAAAAGAAAGTGGGATTTCCATTGACACATACACAAGATTATGACAGAAAGAAACTTGTTGACAAGAATTCTTTTTTCTTTTTAACCAAGCTAATTTAAGAGAATGCAACTTAGGAGTAAATCTTACCTCAGGGAGGCGATTCAAACGTCATCCACCACAAGTCTGTAAAAGAAAAAAAAAATGAGTACTTTGAGACTGAGTATGTAAACCTTTTTTCCTTTACAAAAGATGTGTAAAAAAGTCTGATACCTTAACCGTTTAATTCCCATAATCTGATTGTTAATTCTACCCTCTGGTTGCTACATATTTCCTTGCAAGTTAGTCACAACAATTTGATGTTAGATACAATGAATATATGAAGTTTATATATTTTGAACTGTGGTATTAGATATATATGATGCACGATCCTCGCAGTAGAGAGCGCTATTTATGTAATAGCGAAAATCAGACCTGAAAAAAAAAAATCCCATACAGGCCTGATTTTTTTTAAGTCTGATTTTTGCTATTGCATAAATAGTGCTCTCTACTGCGAGGATCGTGCATCATACGTAATTTGGTGTTAGAGTAAGATAACAACTTCTACCTGATAAGTTTGAGTATTCTCATTTCCTGTTTGCTGGATAGTGTATGGCTATTATGAGGTGAAGCTACTTGTTAGTCACTTATATTTCTCACAAAAGCTTTACTCAGCTGTATCAATATACTTTTTCCAAAATATTAAAATCAGCCTAAAAACAACTGTAAGGACAAACACACACACACAAATAATAGCATGCATCCTTTGTTCCCTCTACTTCTGACCTTGAAACCACCCCATCAAGAGGAATATTAGTAATTTGAGAAACATAGTAAATTCTGCAGTTTGGTATTATTTGTCTTGTTATCAGCGGAAAAAAAAAGTAAAAATCTCAGTTTTCAGGATCAGAGGCTCAGATTTTAATGGTGAAATCCAAAACTCACTGAGACACCAAGACCCTTGTTTAAAAATCCAAGATTAAGACTCTACAGTTTTTGCCACAAAATCATGAAAGTAATTTACCAAAATAATTGCATTATCAACAACATGAATTATTGGATAGGGTGACCAAATTTCAAGTTTGGTTGGAATCATTGCCAAGCCACAATTTTTCAAGGTATCACTCTCCAGTACCCTGTTTTAATTTTGTCTCACAATATTAAAACAAGAAAAAATCACTTCTTTAAGAAATTTTAACTGATTCTCCCCTAGAGGCTCATATGCATAATTATAATGCCCCTTTTCAACACTGTCTTTATGAAATAGCCTCCCTCTTCCTGAAATGACGGAATAGTCATCACATATTGCCTAATGAACAGCAAAATTACGACCTCTCTGGCCATTGAAAAAGACGAGGTTTCACCACAATGACCGCAAACAATAAAATATTAAAGGAGTAAAAACTACTTGTAACAATGGAATCAAGGAATACATTAGCAGGAATGCAATCTTTTATTTCCGATTTTTCAGTAACTAGTCATTTCACAGCGATTTTATCAATTTTGATCGATCCAATAGAGAGAAACTCTCTGAGGCAAGCCTAATTTGATTAAAAGAATAATCTAACTGGCTTCTCTGAAGACGATTCATACAAAGAAATAAGCTCAATAATTAAAAAGAAATAATTCACGCGTTCAAAAGCTGCAGTTTTGTACTCTTTAGGTTCTCGACGGCTGCTAAGGCACCAAAAAAAAAAAATACAATTACATCACAGGAAGCTCTCTACTAGAACAACAATTAAAACTGCACCAACACTGCTTTTACAATGAATCTTACAGCTGTTTAACAGATCGAAACTGGTCGAACCTTTAACTCTTGAAAAGTCGGTGTGTTTTAACATGATTAATAAACAAGCTGACTTCAACTCACCTCTAGACGGGCTCTCACAATAGTTTCACTGCCTGTATCCTGATTATCTTTGCAAAATGACACTGCAAAGACAGAAAGGAGAACGAAAGCGGATAATGACAGAGGGCCTCTCATCCTGCAGCTTTCGAATCCAGCAGGATGTCTGAAACGTGCACAAGACGGTATTGTCCGAGTAGCATTTCCGGAACTTAATTTATGTACGAATGCTTCCGACTTGGGCCGTCTGTGTCACGAACGTGCAGCAGAACACCTGAACGTCATAGGCAGTAAAAGGATTTGGAGGACAAAATATTATTGAAACGTTCTACCTGTATTTTGTTGTACCAGAAAATTGTTCTGTTAGTACAGATACAGGTCAAATTCCTCTGAAACTCAGCTCGAATGGTAGCTTTTGGTTTCTTTTCTTTCTCTACTCGGTCTTTCCGAGTTGAAGAGATAAGTATGTTAAGTTTAAAAGCCCCTGGGGTTCCCGATACCTAATTTTGACTTACATGGTCAAAATCTATACCCGTTTTCAGAACAAGAATGCTTAAGACCCACAGCCCTTCAGGGAGAATGTACTTACAAAACCTTTTCGCGGTAGCAACCCTCCGGGAAACCGACCTACAAGTCGACTGACATATACAAAATAAGGACGGACATGCTTCGAGATGCTAATCGCGCCCAAGTTCCAAGTTAGTTTTCTTTCACGGACGCAGTGATTTAGACATCTGCTTAGGTTCTTCAACTCGTGAATTTATGTGCACACCCCTTTTGAAGGCGAGAACGACCCAGTGAACGAGGCTGAATATAACCCTTTTACACTCCTTGGGGTGTCACAAGGACAAGGAAAGTGTTGCGTGACAACCCAAAAAACAGCTGCCGTGTGGACTAATCAATCAATTTTAAAAAGTGTAGTTCCGAAAAACTGGAAACTTGAAGAAAAAAGGATTACTAAGTGGCTTATGTTTTCATTTTACTTGTATTGTCACATGTATGTTAGTACAATACACATCGCTCTCTTTCTGTTCCACAGCATTTGAGGTTTACCCTGAAAACGCAGTCACTTGACCATAAGGGCAGTTTCCAATTGACTCTCGACGAACCAAAACCGAAGTAATCACAACGACCAATTATGACAAAGGTATCGAAATCATTAGCAAATGGAAACTTTTCAGAGGATGGCACTTATTTTCTCGACTAACCCCAGCGGGGAGTAGCGCAAAAACAAAGAAAACCCGGATCGTTTTCGACACTCAATTGAAAATTGCCCAAAAACTGACTTATTACCCAGTAACAAGTGAACTAATCAGAGTATAATAGCAGAGCTGCCTGTCGTATAAAGAAAAAACAATTCGAGGAAACTCTTTACATAGAAAAGTCAAAGCGATACAAAAATAAACACACAGCTGAATTAATGATGTCACTTCGGTAAAGAATAGCATGCGTTCCACAACAAACTATAGCAATATCAACTTAGGAAATCCTTAAGGACCAGTCTAATTTATCGCCTGAGGGGGGAGGGAAGCGGGGATTTTTGCGGGGTGGGAATCTAGTGGTTTTTAAAGGGAGCGGAGCAGTCTCCAACACAGAGTAATGGGAGGGGGGTGGGGTTATAGAAAACTGCCCACTACTGGGGAGGATCATTTGAATACTACAGAGCCTTATGGGAGGATCAGGTCAATTTTACTGACCTGACACAACCAAAATCCTCCGGACCCCTCTGCCCCCGGCGATAAAATAAACCACCCTTGTGGCGCGGAAACTTAAAGTTAATCGCTAGGAATCGCATGCTCATGAAAACTGTGAAAAGATTAAATGAAAAGAATCGATTGATGTGGCATTTTTGTCAACTGAGTTACTTCGTTTGTTATAAATACTTTAGTGGCAGCTCTGATTCGTCACAACGTAGAGTAGTTGTACTAAGCTAATAGATACTTATAATTATAACAAATCAATAATTATGAGTATAGCATGGGCTACGGAAATAATCGCGTAGACATTCTTCGGTTTAATAACCTCAAATTTCCAATGTTTGATAAACCAAATGTTTTTGTATCAACCAAAAACCCTAATTAAAGATATTTTAGGGAACACGAACCTGTACCATGCCCCTGCACCTCATTCACGGGTGCCTACACCTCGACGAGCGGGTACCAAAATATATCCAATTTATAGAGCACGATTACTGAATTTGATGGTAAATTAATGACTTACATTATGCATATCTGGACTTTTGTGGTTCTCGATACCAACATTTAAAAAAAGTTACAATAAAATTAAGAAATGCTAATCTGTTTTCCACAAGGTACTCTAGATGTAGCTTGTTAACAGAACTAGAAAGATTAGGTATCAATTGTCGTTACCGAGTATTAATCATTTAAGTGCTGGTCATCGAAAGTCAACAAAAGTTAAAGACCATATGCAATACGTTACTTTCACTGGGTTTAAATAGCGATTTTAAATAACCATTTCACTGTTTCTCCATCAAGTTAGGGGAGAGGACCCCCTCCTAAATATTTCAGGGTTAGATCGGATTACTAATTTTATACACAACTGCAATTACACAATTTAAGACCCCACTTCTTACGTGTTACTCCAGCCTATGTAGCTGGTCTGTTACATTGAAAATACATCCATCCACTACTAATAACTTAAAATTGCCCTAAAGTTGTCTCCAATGGCGACGAATAACAATCTATTTACAAAACTTAGCACCTTGTAATTGGTTATCCACTGCCATAGTTTCCAAAGCGTTGTCTGCTGTACTTCCACTTCTCGATATCTTATAGCTCTAAGCTCATCAAACAATAAAGACCATATTTCTCAATAAAAGAGAGGCTGTGTAAGTTAATTAAGTCTCGGTTACGCCGTTTGTGTAACCAGCGTTTATCCTGTTTTACTGGTTTTTGATAAGATCTTGGACCCTTGCCACCAGACCCCGTGCGACCTTCAGTGCTGCCCTTGCGTCATGACGCTCAGCCATTTCTAATAGAGAGAGCAAACAGCTATCAATCACACACTTGAAAACCCGGATGTGACCCTTGACCTTTAAATTTGGTAATGACTTTTAAGTGAGTTGAAATAAAAGTTGAATTAAATAAAGGCGTTTAAAAACAAGCTGATCATGGAACAATATATCAGATCAGATTTCGATCTCAAGTCCTACTTTAAACGGTTGATCACGTCTTCTCATCGTATTTAACAACATCGTTTCTGATCCCACCTTGATCTGACAGAAATATTCGAGCGGTGATTTCATTCCTTCATTACGACGAGGATTGACACTTTTAAAAGGGGGGACTCTTACAAGGTTATGTACTGGGAGGGGGTTCAATGGGGCAATAACCGAAGAGACATACCNGGGGGAGGGAGATATCAGTATGCGTTAAGTATTTATAAAAGAAAATTATGAGTGATGTGTTGGCTTAAAAGAATAAAGAAGTCCCACAGAAATATATGAGCTTACCATTGAAAAACTTGATGATGTCTGTGAAGTCCATTTTGTTATCCAAAATGATATCCCTGTAAGAAAAGAAGGTAAGATTTAAAGTTTCTCATTACTGTAAAACAGTCTCTTTACCACAGAGACAGAAAGATATGCTTAATATTGATGGACAACCATCAAATGAGCGTTACTCTCAAATTCTTCAAACACTAGTTGGCCAACTCGTCTTTGGTAAAATTTCCTCGCGCATTCGCTAGCCGGTTGAAAATTAAAATCGCGCATAAAAAAGAAACAGTCAACTCATTATTTTTTCTTTACCTGTAAAACTGTAGCAGTGCAAGAGCAATAAAAAGAACGAAGTGTTCTGAGGCAAGGTGTCTAGCTGACCAGATGATTTCCCATACGACAAACACGTCCTCATACAGAAGTTCTGTGAAAAGATGAACACGTAAAAAAAAAAAAAATTAGAACTAAACTGCTCTTATGATTTACTTGACGTCCAACTGTTTTTGCCTGTCTATCTGCCTTCTCATCTATCTTCTAACCCCCTACCTGTTAGTCTGTCAGTCTATCGGTGTCTCCCCTCCCGCATACATGTCGATCTGTCTTTCTGTCAGTTTTTATCTACACACATAACTCCGTCTGAATGTTTAGAGCGCTACCTCAGAGTGTGCGAGCACAAACCTCGTTTGAAGTCAAGAAGGAACCATCTGTAACAGAAGTAGAAATGCGTAAGGTCACCATTTTGCTGAAGATGCTCGAACATTTCTGGGTCGAGAATCTGCAGATAGTGAAATAAAACACAATGTGTTACCAATGTTAGCTGGCTTCAAGGTCTAAAACTGGAGGAATTTTTGTCGCTCTTTTATCACTTGAATCGAAAGGTACGTACTTGGATCAACGATCTCATGTTTGCAAAATGCGTGTCCATGGCGCCACCGTGCGGGAAGTTATTGTTCATTCTCTGCATGAGATCCACGAAACAGCTGTAGGTTATCGCCTCTGAGAAAAGAAAAGAACAGAAACTACTTTACAACGGCTGATCACTCTCCTGCAAAAAAGAATAACATGAGAAGTGTTTATAAGTCTACATTATTCTTTGCCGGGTCGTTCTACGTTCGAGAGGCGACTCACCATTGTCAAAGACAACAAGCAATGGAGCTACAAGATCACACATCCCTTGAACATAACCAACATCCAAGGTCTTCCACACGTAACTGCAAGTAAAAACATTACAGAATCAAACAAAATCAACAATAAACACGAGTCATGATACATCGTTCACTTGACTCATCAAATGACTTCTACTCAGACTATCCAAGCATCAGTCAGAGTCGCTAGGTCGGACAGATCAATCTCAGTACAATGCAACTGCGGACCTACCCCTCCCCTAGCCCTGCATTAACCTTAAATTGTTATCTGTTGACTGTTGTTGGGTTAGGGGAGGGTTAGGTGCGCAGTTGCTCAGATTCAAGGAAGGTGTTGATTTTGTACCCAAGCCTCACCTGCTAATGACGTTTCTTAGTTTATTGAGGTTTTCGTGAGTAAAGTAGGGATAATTTCTGTCACATCTCAGCACGTCTTTCTCAATTCGATGAAGATTTAAACCAAAGTCATCAAGGAGTTCAGTCTGGGAGAAGAATCGGTCAAATCATTTATGATCAACAATAATAACTATGAGCAAAGAAACAACGTTCCTCAAAAAGGTGTTTAAATGATTGTGGTGTGTGTTTGCAATGATTATCAGTGAGTCTTCAAGAGTCGAAGGAAAAGTTATAGCGACCAATCTGGCCCTTGGTAAGTTTTGCTAAAGATCACAAAAAGGCCTTTGGCAAACACCAAAACCCCAACCTGCAGAAACACCACGATCTGACTACGGACAGCTTCAACTGATCTCGAGTATCTGGAAAAATATAGCTACTCACCGAGTATGAACACGATGCTCTAGACCCAGTGCTTCCCTGGCTACACTGTTTACAAAAGACTGGGATCTCAGTGTCCGTGTCGTGGCTGGTCTGCTGTGACTCCTCCGGCACATTGGTGGCACTGTATGTGGAATCATGGCCATTTGGAACGTGACCTGTTCCGTTACCATTCAATTCAACAGCAGAATGAAATCTCTTGCTACATCGCTGGCACGTTCTTGATATTGACACGAACTTGCCATTGTCTTCCCCGCAGTCGCTACAACATCCACTTTCGACATCGTCGCTATTTTTAGGCGGAATAATAAGCTGTCCGTTCATTAATCTGGCTTTTGTAACCTCGTCAAGTCCTTCAATCTCGGGTTCCTCGATACTGACCCTCTGACGATTGAAATTCTCCGATTTTTCCAGGCCACTACTGATCATTTCTAACTGTTCATAGACCTCGTCTCTACTGCCTGTGCTGTCCATAGAGATACCATCCATTTCTTGTTCTTTCTCCAGCTGTCGAATCACTTTCTCAACTTCTTTCCATTCCTCCATGATGTAACGAAATTCTTCGTTAGCAGCCTTGTCTGTTGCTTGACGATCTTCAGGCGTGCTTCCAAATTTGTAGTGCCCCAGTAAATAGGGCCACACCTTAAGGAAAGATGAAACATAAAATACATTCTCAGACAAAAACATTCTTATGCTTGCTGGAAAGTAGTGAGTAAATTTGCCATGTTAGTGATCTTACCTCCTTTCTTAAGGAGTGTTCTACTCCGCCGAAGTAGACATACTTCTTTACTTCATCCTCGTCATTAACCTGAAAAATGATCAGTAGGGTACAAAAAAATGGCAATCACTACTTTAACTATGGCTCCGGCTCCAGGAGTAGTTTATAGGTAGCTTCGTATAGAACTTACACTGTATCCATGCAAGCTAAGTTGTTTTCACGCGTATACTTGTTCGTGCTTAGTCTCCTTCGCAGCCATCGTTTGACTCGTCACGAGATTCGCAGAGAGGGCGTGTTACCGTGAAGGAGTCACGCCACAATAAGTTTCTTCAAGACACCCAGTAATCAATTCATTTCCGAATAAGCATGGGTCAAAATTTAAACCAAATTAATGTGTCAAAAGCATTCAGAGTATTAATACAATGTAGCCATTCACCTGAGAAGGAACGCGAGTTTCTTGAAAAAGGAGAGGGGAAAAAAAAAAAAAAAGGACACGGACTTATGACCGTTCAATATTCTCTCGACCAGCCAAAGGTGTGTTTATCTCACTTTGAGCCAGCAAGCCACAAGAAACGAGCGGCGGGAGCCGTTGGCCTCCGTGGTGCCTATTACTGCTCGCTTAAGGCTATCTCAGTACATGCAAATGAGTAAGCTTCCAAGAAACCTCTGCCTGGCGCGCTGTAGCATGACCGGCAAAGCCGCGAGAGACGACGTAGCTAGCGTAACGAGCCGGCAAAGGGCCTGGCGCGGAAATCGCTTTCGTCGCCGTCTCGCAACCGAAGCCGACTTTGTCTCGGCGCTCGTCCACTCGTACCAGGGCTTGCTCAGTTCTCACGTAAAAAAATCTAACCTTTCCACTACTACACATGCTTCTCCATATTTGTTCTGTGAGTCCCTGGGTGTAATCGACTCCGTTTTCTTCGGAATTGGTGTTGCTGTGGTTAACGAGCCATAACAAATGCGTCCTGACTGTTTTGAGGTGGCGCACGTATGACAGCCCTAAAGACAAAGTATGAACAAGTAAGCACTTAAAATACTCTGAGTTTTATTATTACTTGAGATCTAAATAAACCATGTTCTACTTACATCCGTTGAAAGCTCGTAAAGTAATTTGGCGTCTCATGGTCTCGCAAGCAGTGCTGAGACATTCCCTAGAAGAAAAAGCCGCACATAAAAAAAAATTATCATTACCATAGCTATCATCATCATCATCATCACGATCATCATCGACACCGTAATTGTCATCGTCACCGTCAACATTATCATCACATGGCGAGAGACATGTTGGCCTGGTCCGAGTCAAAGTCATGTGCTTTTTAGTAAAAAACTTTTCTCCCGCAGTGCCTCTCTTCACCCAAGAATATAAATGGCTATAGGAAAGCTGTTGGAGAAAACGAATGAAATAACAAGAACTACTGCCATGGACTGTCATCCTGTGAGGGGAAGGGACGTGAGGGGAAGGGACAGAAGGGGAAGGGACGTGAGGGGAAGGGAGGTGAGGGGAAGGGACGTGAGGGGGAGTCTATGCACCAAGTCGCTTAATGTTACGGGAAACGGCAAAAGCTCAAATGACAAGATGCGTCTTCCTCCTCGAAAACTACATGTACGCTTTTTATATCATTATTCATTTGCTAATTGCCAGAAAAAGGTGCTTCAGAACTCACCTTGTGTGAGGCGAGGATTGTTTTTGGTTTCGTCTAAAGCTGGACTGTAACCTTGAACTAAGGTCCTGACGTCTCCATGGTAACCCTCCCTGCTTCTTGAAAGATTTTTGAGAAGACCATCTATCCATTTCTTTGGAGACTGGAATTGCAACACCGAGTGTAAATAACAAATATTAACAAAACAACCTACATTTAGCATTTCTTCGTTATCATCAATTAAGGACTAACTTTCGAATGCATTTAAAACCTTTCTACCTTGTGACAGCACCGAGGCTTCAAAATGGGGTGAAATTAGGAAGGAGGACTAAATGGAAAGGAGAAGGGGACGGGGGACTTGTTAAAATATAACCTAAATCTAACTAAAGCGGCAAAATGTGATGCCTTGTTTTAATTCTGAATTTTCTCCCAGATTTGATGATTACCCTACAGTGTATGCATTCCTTTAGCTTTCAAATACAAGTATATCACGAACTGAAACTCTCAGGGACTGAGGGGGAGGGGGAGGGGGTCCTTCCAAGTTATAGGCTGATGAGGATGTACCGTTGGATCACTGGCTCGCATTTTCATGACTAGATTGACTATAATGAGGTTGCATTTTCAACAGAGTCACTAGAATGGGGTCGCTCATTTTCAGGATATTGGGGCTGAGACACTACCTTGCCCAAGTGAATGAAAATACAATTACTTCTCCCGGGGAAGAGCCCTTTTCGAACATGTCTGAAATCAACAAATTGTAAACTACTCACCAACAACATCTGGTTTTGTTCCAGAAACCAGTCTAAAGACATAGTCTTGATTTGTGTTTTCTCCTTTGGAGAATGACATTAGTGGCAGGTTAGATCCTGACAGCGGTTTCTTCAGGCTGGGTAGGGCAAGGCCTTTGGAGCGTGGGTTAAAAAGAGGAGGGTCCAGTTCACCATGAGGGTGGAGACCATTCTCAAGACAGTTTAAGAATGACAACAGAGACCCTGTTGTAGGGAAACGGATTGGTGGACGCTGGACTCCATCCTGTCCTATGAGAATAACCACTCCATAGACACCTGAAATGTAATAAATTTCTGTCGAGTATCACAAGTATTGCCTTGGTTTTGCTTTTCTTTGCTCTCCAATTGCTCTGAAAGACTTGAAGTAACCTCTAAACCACTCACGTACAAAACTCAAACCAACCATATCTTGGTAACTCTCATTTTCCTGCACTTCAAGCAATTTGTTAATTTCTATTTACCGTAAATCCTCTAATAAGCCCCCCTCTTTAGAGGAAGAAATTTATTAAGCCCCCCTACCCCCCCTCAAAAAACAAAAATTCAAAATAACACTCCATGTTAGTAGGTACAACAAATTTATTCAAGTACTGTAATTTTAGTTTGTCGTTTAAAATTGATTGATTTTATCATGTTGGCATCAATAGAATAATGGTATACGGAAATTACAGAGTGATGCTAGAAATATAACATGGCTAAACAAGGACCATTGAGAGAGTTACATCATAAAATTGAGTTCTTTCTTGAGTTCTAAATTAATAACGCCCTCTCCTCTATTAAGCCCCCCGTCTCATGAGCCATCCCCCCCCCCATGTACCTGAAATAAATAAGCACCCCAGAGAGCTTATTAGAGGATTTACAGTCAGTACTCATTGATTCCTTAAGAAACATTTATTTCCTTTGTTCTATTTGTTCATTGTGATTACTAAGTGTTACCCCCATTTTTTTCTTTTTTTTTTTTTTTTGGTTTTAAGCCACTCAATCAGATGTGTTCTCTACAAAATGTCAAATACTTTACAGTAGCTTTAATTGGATGACTGGATACTGACTCGTATTTTTGTAGGTTTAACCCTTTAGACCCTAACATCAGTATCCATATTCTCCATTCTCTTCTCTATACATTTCCTTCGGTACTGATGAAGAGAATTCCTTTATCAATCAACTTAGCTTCTAACAGGTCAGTGATCATTTCCCATATTCCTATGATCTGAAAGTGTGGTGTGATCGTCTGGGTGAGTAGTGAATAGTTGTAGTCAGTAAAATGTTCTCAGTCCAGTTCGTGTAAAATGATTGGTCAGTTTTGCTGTGATGTTATCGGCTGTAAGACTCAAGTCTGACTTGATATGCTACTGACAACTACTATTCATTTGACTCTGATGATGACTTCCACACAGGTTGTCGAAACGTCAATCACCACCACTGACAACAGTCCTTCTCAGGACTACACTCACCCAGACGATCACAATACACTTTCACATGTTACCTCTGGATTCAAACCATTTACTGTGTTCCTATGAATGATAATTTAATTTAATTTATTTTAATTTAATTTAGTCCATTTTCACTGCATTAAGTTTTGCAGTGGGGAAGGACTAGAAAGGAACATAGGAACCATTCGTGCTAGTCCACCCTCCCACCCATCCCACCCCAGGGGAGGACATCCATCACACAGTAATCTCGTGTGTGGGAAATTAACGTCTCCTACCCCAACCCTGCAGGAGACGGGACCTCCATTTATTCGTCCCTATCCGAGAAGACTAGAATATCTAACCATTTCTTGATGTTATAGAAAGGTAGCAAATTCTTCTCAATTATTTTAAGACC